GCATGAAGCGTGACTCCAATAGGAGAGGCCACAGGGCTTTCATAGGAACAGATAAGCAATGTATTCAAATTGCTTAGATATAATGACACAGAGAGTGGAAAAGGACAGCTGCTGCAGGGCACTTATTTCAGTTCTTGTTTTTTTTTTTAAACTGAAAAGTACAATGACTGAATCATTCTATGATTTTACTGATGTCTGCAACATCAAACCATGTGTACGTAGGGTCAATGAGGCCTTACGGCTTTAAATCCACAGCTACACCTTTGGTCTCACAGGTTGTAGATGCAGAAATATCAAAGGCAGATGTCGGTGATTAGCTGTGGGAGGCGGACCCATTGAAAGTAATGGGAGGCTGCCAGGTCCCACAGCTACTTGCACCCACTCACATGTAATCGGTATGTTCTGATTACATGCGAGTCATCAGCCTTGAACACATATTGACTGCAATTACCTTCTAGACCCAGCAGCCTACCATTGCTCCCAATGGTGCTGCCTCCAGCAGCTAATTGCTGGGATCCCATGCTGATTTCCTTGCATCTACATGCTGAGGGACAAAAACGCAGATCTGAATGTAGGCGAACTCAGAATATTACTTACAATATAAGTTCACTGTGTAAAAAAAAAAGCTCTGCATACAGTATTTGAGTATCTTGTTTCATTCTACCTGCACAGTCTATTGAAAAATCTATTATATTAAATGAGAAACATATCTACTACTCACAAAGGCAACTTCCATTAAAATGTAATATGTTACATTTTTGTACTTGGGTTTTGTTTTCCTCTTGAATTGTACTTTTTAAGATCCAAAGAAAATACTGCAATTGAATTGTCTCAGGAAACACAGCTTACCTGTGGGATGGCCACAACTTTCATCCTGACTTTCCTCCCTGGTACCTGACTGGCTTGCTAGAAAAAGCCATATTACTTTCTGAATTGCTCTACATAACAACTGTCCGGGATGTAAAGGAGTTTATGCTGTGACCCTCCCTTTGCACAATCCCAATGGAGCCTTACCCACATATACCACAGCATGAAAACATGAAACATAGCAAAACGTTATGTGGCAAGAAGTTGAAGAATTAACCAGTAGCCTTCAGAAAAATCCTTTTTTTTTTTTACCGCACCACACATGAACCAAAAATGCAGCTTGCAGGACTTTGAAAAATACAACAGACCTGCAACTGACCAGTGTGAAGAGTTCCATAGGATTTAATGTCATGAGCTTTTCTTCTGCTTTTTTTAAATGCAAAAATGGAATAAAAACGGATTGGTGTGAAAAGAGCCTAACCGCGAACCTTCCCCAATCATCCTCCACCCAAATTGTACATTAAAGTATAACTAAAGGCAAAACTTTTTTTTTTAGATTTGGACAAACTGGAGAGGAATTAGAACACCTGTCAGTTTATATTGCTGCCTGTACCCGTTAGGGAGATTCATCCTCTCTGTTTGTCTTATTATTATACAGGATTTATATAGCGCCAACAGTTTGCTCAGCGCTTTACAATATAACGGGAGACAATACAGCAACAATACAGTTCAATACAAGAGGGATAGGAGGGCCCTGCTCCTTGGAGCTTACAATCTAGGAGGGAGGGGCTAGTGGTACAAAAGTTAGTAACTGTGGGGGATGGACTGGTAGGAGGAGTAGAAGATTCCATTATTAGCTGAAGGCAGGCTAGGCTGCCCGGTCTTATCATTATCATTGAAAGTGAAAAGTAAAAGAAAAGAAAATATTTTCGGTTGTCCCCAGAATAGACGGGATATCTTCTAATGGTTCTGGTGACCTGGGGGTCCCCAAAGAATTCTCTCAATTCCTGTTAAGCTATGGGACAGAAAGTGAAGGGAAATCTCCGAAAAATGGGACACAGATGGGGAAAAAATTTAAAATCTTACGGAGATGATAACCCTCACTTGGCTCTATCCAAAATGAAAAAAAAGTTTTACCTACAGTTTATACTTCAAGGTAGAGATGGGGTTCCTTTTCACAGAAGTACTAAGCTGGAAGTCAAATTCGAGTCCAGACCTACTAGCCGGTCACAAAACTTACTCGCCACCAGTTGCCCCACCCAACCTTGCCCAGGTCACAAAACTTACTATGACATGTATACAGTAATCATTACTGTATACATGTCATCACTATGATGGAGTACAGGTGAGCTGGGATATACATTACTGTATACATGTTATTTCACTATAATGGAGTACAGGGGAGCTGGGATATACATTACTCAGTAATGTATATCCCAGCAACCCTGTACTCCATTATAGTGAAATAACATGTATACAGTAATGTATATCCCAGCTCCCCTGTACTCCCTTATAGTGATATGACATGTACTCCATACAGTAACATGTATACAGTATATCCCAGTCCCCTGTACTCCATTATAGTGAAATAACATGTATACAGTAATGTATATCCCAGCTCCCCTGTACTCCATTATAGTGATAGGACATGTTGTATACAGTACTTACTGTCCCCCCAAGTCCCCCGCGCGGTGGTGGAGAGGGTGGCTCCTCTCAGCGAAGGACAGCGGACCTCTCCTGCACTTGTCCCCTCGGCGGCAGTGCTGCAGAAGCCGGAAACCAGAAGTTGTAAACCGGAACTCGGCTTCACAATGAAGCTTGGAGGTGCAGTCGCTCCAAGCTTCATCTGTGCTCACCGCTCGCAGCCGCACGCCACAGAGGAATTTCTCCTCGCATTTGGCGAGCGGCTTTTTCAAGCCCCGTGTATATATATATATATATATATATATATATATATTGCAAATCAGAACCTCATATAAAAAGTCCTCAAAGCCCCTTAACTTTAAAATTGTCTTTTATCCCATATTTATGGAGGAGTCACCAGTACACATCAAGTTATTAATTCCCCAAAAAATCCAATAAAAACCTGGCTTAGACTTAGGCTTGCAAAACGTGTAATGCATTTTACTTGCCAGGGCTCACTCTCCAAGTTGTTAAGATTAAATATTAACCTTATGCTCAACAGAAAAGGTTATATTTTATTTTATTTATATTACATAATACATAACAGCAGGACATCAGCATCAACGTCACAGCACAAGAGACTCACACATTACTGTATGGAGCACCATCTGCAGGATGCCTGGATGTATTGGCTGATCATTTTAATATTTTTGGCTGGCTGAATATATTAATATTTTATTCTGGACATAAAATGTCCTATAAAAATATGAATAATGAGCTATAATATACAAACTACCATATGTTGTACCTTTACTATCCAACATTAAGAAACATCTGTTAACACATTCAACTTCCAAAATAAAGGTATTTCATATGCAGTCCGGGGCCCAGACTCCTGAAGATGTTTGCATCTGTGTCCACCTTTTCCATTACAGACCTGTGGCTGACAGCGCAGCTTACACAATCCAAAACAGGGACAATAGGAGCTGTTTTTTATTTGTCTGCTTAAAAGGAAAAGTTCACCTTTACCAAAAAATTGCCTGTGTAGATAAGGTGTGTCTGTAGATAAAAGCAAACTGTGCAGCTCTGACTAAAGTTGAATAATGCCCTTGCTATAGGTGTAGGCCATTTATATACCTTCTGAAGCCTGACTGGAAAACTCTCAGGGCGTTGCTAGGTGAGGCCTAGTCATGACTGCTCACCTCCACCATTACAGGAGTGAGCTCTCAGATCCTGAGCTACTGCATCAGGGGGAGAGAGAGAGCATGTAACGGGCTTTGATTTGGAGGTAAGGCTCACTCCTGTGATGGTGGGAGTGAGCAGTAATGACTAGGCCTCACTCACATGGATGAAAAATATATTTGAAATATATTTAAAAAATATTCTTCCCAAATATATTGACAAATATTTGAAATGCTACAATTTTGGCCATATTCAATATATTTTAATAACATATATATATACATATACATACTGTATGTATGTTGAAATGCGTTATTACAAATTATGAAAAAAAAAATTTTAAACATACATTTAACATATATTGTATGTCTTTAAAAATACAAAACTACATTTTTGGAATGCATTTACAAATATATGTAAAAAATATATGTTAAAATTACTTTTTTGTATGTTAAAAAAAATCTGAAGAATATATTTAAAAATAAAATGGTTTTAAAAATATATTTGAAATGCATTTTAAAAAATATTTTTCATATATTTTGTAATAGAAACGCATTTCAGCATACATTGTGTATATATATATATATATATATATATATATATATATATATATATATATATATATATATAAATATATTTTGAAAAATATTGAATATGGCCAAAATTTTAGCATTTCAAATATATGTCAAATATTTTGGGAAGAATATTTTTCAAATATATTTTTCTTCCATATGGGCACATAGCAACATTCTGGGAGTAGTCCAGTCAGGCTTCATGAGGTACATAAATGGCCTACACCTATAGCAAGGGTATTATTTAATTTTAGTCAGAGGCACACAGTTTGTTATTAGCCACAGACACCCCTTATCTGCATAAGCAGGTTTCTGGTAAAGGCGAACTAACACTTTAAAGCTGGCTCAGCTATGAGAGCTAAGGGAGCCCTTAGAAAACAGAAAGGTTTTTTTTTTTTCTTTATTTCTACCTGGCAATCTTCCTGTCCCTGGGTGGCTACACTCACTACTCCACCATTTCTATGGATGGAGCCATGCTTGTCACCCATGCTGCACTTGAAACACGTCTCTTTGTTCATCAACATTGAGGGGTGGTGGGATTAGAAGTCTGCATAAAATAGTTTTTGCTTCCTGTTTAGCTCATAAGGAAGTTACAAGAACACTTTATTAACAAAAAAGATTGACAGTTTTTTGTTTGCACTTTCTGAAAATGTTCTTAAATTGAAAGTGAAAACTAATGCAACCAACACATCTAAAGACTAGTATGTGGCAATATATAACATTTTTGGTGTTGGGTTTAGTTATCCTTTAGAACCAATGGCAGAGAATGTTTGGCGCATACGTTTCCTTCACTGTTTGCCTTTTTTGCTCACTTACCTTAAATTCCACAGCCAGTACATAAAGAGAAGCAGCCATGGGTAACACAGTGCAGCCCTCAGCTAGGTTGTCTGACAGTGCAGTGCGGGTATACCAGAAGTATAGATTGTGCCATGGAAGGAGGCTGGTTGTAAAGAATGGCTCACCAATCAAAGCGGAGACCTAAATGAAGAGTCCAATGGTCAGATAACACTGATAATTAAAAACAATGCATTTATACTCAATATTAAACCAAAACAAAATCACCTTTTTGTCCCCGAGGTTATCAATAGTAATGTTTTCCGGTGTTCTCTGCAGGACTGGAATGGCCTCTTTGAGATGGTTGGTTAGTAAAAGCTAAAAAACAGAAAATAATAACTAAACTTAGGGGTAAGTTGTCAGGAAACATAATGTATTAAAGTGTCTCTCCAATCAAAACTGATCATCTGTATTACACAAATGTCCTGTTAAATACAGTTTAGGTAGGTGTGAAAAAATGCTGTAAATGAAGAATGCTTTCAGAAATAGAAGTGTTAATAGTTTATTTTTATCAATTAACAAAATGGAAAGGAGATGAACAGAAGAGAAATACAAATAAAATCAATATTTGGCGTGACCACCTCCTTGCCTTCAAAGACATGCTGGTAGGTTAATTGGATTCTGTCTAAAATTGGCCCTAGTATGTGTATGTATGAATGTGAGTTAGGGACCTTAGATTGTACACTCCTGGAGGGATATATACACACACACACACACACACACATACACTGTGTGTTTGTTTAAACGCTGCTTAAATTGACGGTGCTATATAAGTACCTAAAATAAATAAAAACACCATCAAATCACTAGGTACACTTGCACACAGTTTTTGAAGGAACTCAGCAGGCAGGTTGTTCAAATAGGAGAACTGAACACAGACCCTCTGTGGATGTAGGCTACCTTGAATCCTTCTGTCTCTTGATGTAATCCTAAACTCGATGATGTTGAGACCAGGGCTCTGCGGAGGCCAAACAATCATTTCCAGTTTCCAGGACACCTTGTTCTTCTATACACTGAATATAGTTACTAATGACATAGGCTGCATGCTCTGCTACAGAATAATTTGGGGCCAATCACACACATCCCTGGTGGCATGGCATGATGGACAAGTGTCTGCCTGTATATCTCAGCATTGAGGACACCATTGATCCTGACCAAGTTTTTAACTCCATTTGCAGAAATGCAGCCCCAAACTTTCAAGGAACCTCCCCCATGCTTCACTGTGGCCTGCAGACCCTCATTATTGTACTACTCTCCAGCCCTTCGGTGAAAAAACTGACTCCTGCTACAGTCAATTATTTCACACTTTGACCCATCAGTCCAGAGCACCTGCTGCCATTTCTCTGCACCCCAGTTCCTATGTTTTTGTTCATAGTTGAGTTGCTTAGTCTTGTTTCCACGTTCTATGCACAAAAATATAGGAACTGGGGTGCAGAAAAATGGCAGCAGGTGCTCTAGACTGATGGGTCAAAGTTTGCAACCAAACTGCCTCCTGCTACAGTCAAATATTTCAAACATTGATAAAGGTTCTTTCAGTATCAAAACTCACAGTGCAAAGAAGAAGTCCCACCAGTAGGTGGTCTTACCCACCAGAATACACACTTTAGTGAACTACTAGTCTTGTGTGTACTCTCCCATTAAAGTAAATTCTATGTAAAATAAATATGGAAGCTTCCATTGCTGACCACCTGGAAATACTAGCTGGCCAGCCCTTAAGCTTGACTTTAGTACTTTCTGAGTCACCAACCTGAGACAAATATAAGGATCAGTTTCATAAAGCCAGATATTTTATATTTGCAAATTTGATCTGGGCCAGTGAGGATTAGCAATATAGCCATTCAGTCAACAGTTTAGGAAAAGTGCATAAAAAATGGCAGCCTCCATGTTTTGATCATGATAGGTTTACTTTACCCTTTTATGGTATAACAAAAAGGATTTCATAATGGTAGACAACCATGAAAGCCACGAGACAGTCTACAAACCCTGTCCATACAACAATGACATTTTGAGAAGAACATGATGGTCAAACCTACCTATGAATATCACATTAATTTGAATGTAGAATTTAGAAAAAGGGACCAAAACAAAATAATAAACAGAATGCTGTAGGGATGGTTGTGGCATCTAACAGAGCAATTGTGTTATATGTAAAAACCAGATCCCAATTTATTTCTAATTTGCTCTAACAGTAGTCTTGTAAGTAAAGTCAAGTCTTGTACTGTGTTAGCCATTGATAAAAGCAGAAAGTCTGTAGTTTAAATACCTTTTATTGACCAATGCAAGTTAACCCCTTGGCGCCGGCACCTCCCGGCCCTTTAAGGGTTTCAGAAGCCATGAGGCGGGGGTGGGGTTTAGGGTCATGTGACCGCCGTGACACACCATCACATGATCGGGAAAGGTCTCGATCGAAAGAGGAGATCGGGATCTTTCTGTGAGTACCGGACATGTGTGCTGGGAGCACGCAGAGCGCGCGCTCTCAGCACATATGTTTCTTCTTAATTGGACGCAAATGTGCGGCCGCTTGGCGTCAAGGCCCAGATGCCGAGAGTCTGCACATTTGCATGCGGCCGGCGCCAAGAGGTTAATAACAATGCAAGATTTCAGATACCTTTAATAACTATAATAAGTATATATGAATCCTTACCTTGTAAAACCACCCATTCAGCTTATAAAAGGAATGAAAGGCAAAACATTTGTGTACGATATGAAAAAACATTATAAAACACCTTTTTTTTCTACAAGTGATCACAGTACCTCTATTTTCAGCTGAAAATGGGTTTAGAGAGATGGGGGTGGAGAAACAGCAGTGCACTGATCTTCCCAGTAAATGGCTGGGTCAGCACAAGTCTTAGCCATTGGAGAACAGGCAGGCTGTTCTCCTAGAACAGCCAGAAATCTGACCATTCTGGGAAGGATGTGCTTCTATGCTGAGCAAAGGCACCACACAAGTACATGGTACAAAAAAACACATATCAGGAATATGAAATGTTGGGGTAACATATTCTTTAAATTAGCCAATAAAAAGTATTACTTTAACTACAAACTTTCTGCATTAACCTGCTCTTAACACTATGGGAAACAGACACTTTACATTCCTCTGTTGTTTTTATGTAGCCATTGTATTGTATAATATAGACTGTTCACAAACCTTCTCCATGACTTGCTTGGATATGGAAGAAGACTCCATTGTGTAAACCTGCAAGCAAATCCCCCCCCCTATGTTATTGCAGTGTATACAAAAAAATACCTAACAAACATAAAACCTGACTGATGTAGAGTAGAAACCTCTTACTGTATATCTGCCTATTTTTGAAGGTATATGCATATCTCCCTTCAATTACATATCCAAATATTAGAGTTTTATTCCACATTTTGAAATAATGGAAAGAGTCAGAAAATTCATTTCTTTCTGCCCCGTGGGTCAACTCTGCATCCAGAACAGCTGGTATACAGCAAAGATACGACCTAATATAATAAAGGCAATAATTGCACCTCTATGCCTACAGCTGCTTCAGGTTTGCTGGTCATATTGCAGTGTATACCGTCTATGACACGGGTGCTCAATCTGTGGCTCTTGGAGCCCTCTGATGTGGCCCTTGACCACAAACCAGGGACGTGCATGCCTGGGGATGGCAACCCATTTATTGCAATATGTGCTTGCCAACCCGCCATTCCAGAACATCAGAATGCATTGAGCCGGTGCTGTCAGTGGAGGAAGCAGGCATCCACTGAGGGAGCAATAGAAGCATTAGCTGATGCTTCCTCTGTAGCTCCGGCTCCTGTGATACCAAGTGCACAACCAAGTATTTTATTACATTTAAAGTAGAACTATAGGCAAAGCTTTTTTTTTCCATTTTGGATAGAGCAAGGAAGAGTTATAACTCCTGTCAGAATACTACAGACTACAATAATGGCTATGCTGATCACAAATCATAAATAGAATCTTGGAACATATAGGTTGTCCTATATAGTATCATTAATAAAGATTCAAACTGGGAACACAAACTAATTTTGTGTGGTAATGCCAGTAAGAACAGAGTTCTGCTGTATTTTAACAACTGGCCTGTGTAATGGCCTTTGTGTCTATGGTGGATGTGTAAAGGAAGAGAGGAAGGAGGAGAGGAGGTAGAGGGGTAGGGGAAGGAAGCGTAGGAAGGGAATTTTAGGGGGAGTGTAGGCAGAGGGTGTAAAAGAGAAAACAAAGGGGGGGTGGGCGAGAGTGGGGTGTCTTCTGTCTCCCGTGGGGTTAAACCAGTTTAACTCGTTAGGTGTTCATTTGTTGTACCATCTATGTAGGGGAAGACTGAAGGAGCAAGTAGTCTGCTGTATCCTGGAAATGTAACCAACATGCCCGTGTGGGTACATTTTGTTGGTGTATCACGTGCAATGTTAATAAGCTCCTCCCCTTCGGCTGTTTACTGGATGCATTAGAACCATTCCGTTGTGGATGGGGGATTTGGGGGGATGCAGCGTATGGCCGCATTAATTAGGTACATTGCCAGAGATCTGTGATACACAGAACCGGGAAGAGATGAGTGGTGTAGGAGGTACTGTGTAGGGGTTTATTATGCTATTAAAAGTTTTTAAAAATGTGAAATTCTGAACCATTTCATTTTATTGCAGATCATGACCAGTTACTAAATCACTTAAGTGGCCCTCTTTCTTCAAAGGGTTGAGCACCCCTGGTCTATGGAGTAGGGTCTGGAGACCAATTAGAAAGTACAACCAAAAATGTTATGGTGAGCTACAGAAAATCAGAAAAGAATCAAAATGCTCTCCACTCAGTATGAAGGAAAGCAGAACCTACATAAAACAGAAGGCAACTACAAGTCTCACTTCCCTATAATCGTCTACCTTCTGTCTTCCCTAGCTTTCCTCATCATTAAGCTAACCCATCACATTAGAGGACCAATGGGGACATTCAGAAGACTGAATACAGCAGGGGCCAATCTCAACTTCTACATAAAATGCAGAATTTGTTTATATTGTAAGCTGCCCGAATCTCTGCATCAACTGATCATTTAGACATGTGGTTTTCACTAAGGGTAACCCAAGCTTACACAATTATGCACCATATGCCGATTTCATTTCCAAGAATTTCAATTGTGTTTTTTTTTTAGCTAATTACCAAAAGGGTTAAAGACATTACCTGAGCTGCTCCAATAGAATAAGCCAGAATCGGTAGCAAACTGCCATCACTTATACACAAGCACACAGAGCTTGGGGTCAGGATCTGCAGAGTGATAATAAAAAACTCTGCATTAGATAGATAGATAAATAAATAAATAAATAGAATTAAATGATGCAGTCTTTAGTAAACAAGTCGTTATAGCTGGTCATAGAGAGACTCTAGTGCCCTGTATTCCACTGGTTCACCATCTTTTTTTTTTTCTGCAGTGCCATAATACAAATACATGGAAGAGGTTTGACAAAGCTTCAGCAGATAGCACTGGTCAGTCACTTACATAGGATTGCTGCAGAATGTTCAAAAAACCTACAAGTCCATGCAGTTATTCCATACTCATATTCCATATACAGGCTGCACAAAACAAAGCAGAACTGCACTTAAAAGTGAATGTTCTGCATATTCTCCTCCTCCCCCTCCTCTATCACTATTGGAACATTTTTTTTTTTTGGGGGGGGGGGGGGGGTGGAGTGAGTACTTTTTTCTGCCAGGTAGTCGCTCCCATTTCCTCTTTTCTGACCTAGGTGAGAATAGTGAAAGTTCAACACCCCGTCCCCTCCTAGGACATGGCACATGTCCCAGGAGACTGTGGGAACATTCTGAAAGCGCAGTCGATCTCACGCATGTGCAGTGTGGAGCCTGCTGTGAAACAGCAGGAAGTCACCGCCAGCTTCCCACAGTCAAGATGGCAGCATAGGGGACCCAAAGACTGGCTCAGGTGAAGACAGAGCTGGTTCCTCGTGTTGGTAAGTGTCTGTTTATTAAAGGTTAGCAGCTACATTATTTGTTGAGGTTTGTCTTTAACAAGAAAAAGGTAAGTCTATTAGACTGTCAAAAAAGCAGTATGTGTGCCACAATACAATAAGCAGTGTCGTGGAAAAACTATAATGTTTTTTTCAATGTTTATGAACTGAAATTTTACATAATTTTTTTATTACTTGCCTTAATTTTACAAATAAGTATTATAGGGTGCTTACAGAACACGTAGGCTGTAGAATATAATGGGATATCTAATAAAAAAGACCAGCATAGCCTGTTCACTTGTTGACTGTCTTTGTCTATAAGAGCTAGAGATGGAGGTAGGGAGAGACAGGCATCACTGAAAGGCAGCACTGATACATGACACTGATAGGCGGCACTGATAGGCAGCACTGACTGGCACTGATAGGCGGCACTGACTGGCACTGTTAGGCGGCACTGACTGGCGTGGATTGGCAGCATAGATAGGTGGCACTGATTGGCATTGATAGGTGGCACTGATGGGTGACATTGAAAGGCAGCTCAGATGGGCACTGATATGTGGCATTGATGTGCACTGGTAGGCACTGATATGTGGCATTTATGTGGCACTGGCATGTGGCACTGATGAGCACTGACAGGTGGCGCTGCTGGGGCCACACTGATCATCAGGGAACACTGATTATCAGTGCCCTGATGATCAGTGTACATGTCCCCTCTGCGGAAAGCCGATTACCGGCTCTCCTCTCCTCTCGAGCTGTCAGCGTGACAGCTCGAGAGGAGAGAAATGCCGATCACCGGCATTTCCGTGTTTACATGTGATCAGCTGTGATTGGACACAGCTGATCACATGACCGAGCCGACATCTTCGGCTCTTTCCGTGATCCGCTGTGTCCGAGGGACACAGCGCACCGGCGACTGCCGTGCTGCGCGCTCCCTGAGCCGCGCATGCGCAGTGAGAATGGTAGGATGTCATATGACATCCTATCAGAACGAGAGAACCACCTTGCGCCCGTCCTTGTATTATAGGGCGGGCGGAAGGTGGTTAAATGAACTTTGGAACAGAGAAGACAGCAGCGTTTCTGGATCAGGTTCAGACACGGCTTCTTCTTTGCATAAGAGCTTTACCTTGCATTTTTGGATGGCACAGCGAGCTGTGTTCACAGACAGTGAATTTTGGAAGTATTCCTGAGCCCTTGTAATGAAGTCCATCACAGAATCATGCCATGTTTGTAATGCAGTGCCGCCTGACGGCCAGAAAATCACGAGAATTCAAAATCTGGTGTCGGCCTTGTCCCTTACACACACAGATTTTTCCAGATTCTCAGAATCCTTTGATAATATTATGTACTGTAGATGATATAGTTAAAGTCTTTGCAATTTTTCATTGAGAAACATTTTTCTGAAGTTGTTCAACAATACTTAGATGCAGCTTTTCAGACTGATGAACCTCTGCCCATTTTTACTTCTGTGACACTCTGACTCTCTAAGATTCCCTTTTTTACCCAATCATGTTACTGACCTGTAGCCAATACCCTAATTAGTTGCAAAATTTTCTTCCACCTCTTCCTTGTTAGTACCACTAACTTTGCCAGGTTTTTATTGCTCTGTCCCAACTTTTTTGAGATCTGCTGTTGCCATCAAACTCAAAATTACATTTTTTTCTTAAAATTGTACATTTTCTCAGTACATTTTCTGTTGTGAATAAAATATGAGTTTATGACATTTGGAACTGGGGTTGCATAATATGCCAGAAAATAAAATTACACAAGCTATTCTCTTTCATTTTGCTGCTTAGACAAGCATACATTTAATTACTTCCAAGTGAACATTATTTTGTATTCTTAAACCCAAAGAGTACCCAAATTATTGAAAACAATGATTTAAAGCACTACTAAGCATTCACAAATTACATTATGTGCGGCAAGGTTGGATTTCATTCTAAGATTTTGACTACATATTGTAAGTACTGTGAAGCTAAGAAGCCTTACAGAAACGAATAGGTTTAAAAAATATAAAGGCAGCTACCGGTTCTTAATGTGGCAACCACTCAACACCTCCATTACCTTGCTCATGGCTTCCTTATACTTCACCATCCTTCCCTGGTCATTCAATTCCCCAAAGCGTGTGCGGTTCCAAATGATATGTGCTCCGCAGTGACACACCGGGCGTTCATCTGAAACTGAGCTGCTCTTCTCCAGGCTGCAATATAGAGGCTTAATCATCACTAATGCACTTTCAATTCTGTTCCCAATAAAAACTTGTATTCAATTGTAGAATGTGTCACCAAAAATGTTTTTTTTTTACATGAAATTTTAATATAACCATTCTCAACATTATACAGCAACCTAAACAGCATGCATGTACTAAACAGCATGATCAGCTTGCATTCATTTAGTTAAGCCAATCTGTGATAAGTTGGTATATTTGGCTGAACTATTGCATATCACTATGAATATCTACTGCTCCCACTGAAAATCAGTGCTCCTCTCATTGACTCAAACATCACTTTAGGATGTACAATGATCAACTGATCTTCTTTCTTTTTTTTTTTGCATGCTAGTCTCATATCAAAAATGAATAGGTTACTAAAGTTACAAAAAATTCTCGTAAGACAAAATACAACTTCAGAAGTGATGTAACGTATAGTATTGTATTGTAATGTATTCTTTTGTTTCTGAGCATGCACAGTCTTGGTTGCTTGATGTTTTTACAAATACTGTGCTGATTAAATGAAAATGTTTCTGTTAACATACAAGAAAACTTTTCGTGCTTGTCCCTTCAGATATTTTGTCATGATCAGCTCTCAAAAGCTGTGTACCAACGATTAGATTATCGGACGATCGCTCCAAAAGAGGTATTTTTTGCCTGATTTTCTCATCATGTGTACTAGGCTTAAACTCCTTAGCGGTGTTCCCAAGTGTAGCTCGAGGTAAAGTTTCTATACCAAGCTACACTCGGGCTTACCATGCGGCGTTCTCTGGGGGTCCCTGCAGCACTTACCTTGTCCTTCGCTCCCGCGATCTGTCCCCTCCAGCGTCCCCGGCCATCTCTCCGGCCGATACTGGCATCCGGCTCCTGTGACGTCGGGACGCACGGGCGCCGGAACCGGCGGGAAATTTGAATTTTTTAAAAAATTTCATTTTTGCTGTCATTGCTATTTCAATGCATTTCACATTTTGTCCCTACTGCTTTGTCCTGCGCCCTGCCTGCATTTTGACTGTTCTTTCTGCCTGGAAACTTAGAAAAGTCCATGGCGTCCAAAAAGCGTCCCTTTACGTCAAAAGCGGTTTTAGAGCAGCTAGAGAACAGCGATAGTAAATCAGAACCACTTGCAGAATTGAGTGATAATGATTTGTGGGGAAATTCGTCATCAGACACTGAAAACAATTTTGCGACTTTGCTCAGCGATGTGAGAATTTGCCTCTGTATTTCAAATTTCAGTGTTTTTGGTTTGATTATATTATTGAATTAAATTTATTATATTATTATTTTTTATGATTATTTATTAAATTATAATTTATGATTTCGTGTTTAAAATTTTATCATACCCGGAATGTTTAATAGACTCTTGTTCGGACAGATTTCAGTGAGTTATTCCTAAAAATTACAGCCTACAATAAAAAACTACATATTTCCATGCCAAAAAATGGTACCGCTTTCAGCACAAAAAACCGGAAAGAATCATACCGCCAGGGAGGTTAAAGCAGAGTTCCACCCAAAAGTTCAGCTTTAACCACTAGCCTATAGGGCACTTATACCCTCTTCCTGCCCAGGCCATTTTCCAGCATTGTTGCACTTTGAATGACAATTGCGCGGTCATGCAACACTGTACCCATATGAAATTGTTATCCTTTTTTTGAGACAGATAGAGATTATTTTGGTGGTATTTAATCACCTCTGGGTTTTTTATATTTTCTAGAACAAACCAAAAACCACAGAAAATTTTGAAAAAAAAAATTTTTTTTTCCCAGTTTTTGTTATAAAATTTTGTAAATAAGTGATTTTTTTCCTTCACTGATATACGCTAATGAGGCTGCACTGATGGGCACTGATAGGCTGCACTGATGGGCACTGATAGGTGGCACTGATGGGCATTGACAGGCATCACTGATGGGCAAACAAACCCCAAAAAAACAAACAAGGGCGCACTCCCATCGTGCATTAACGTGGTACACCACGTATTTATTGGAAAATAGTAGAAATATACTCACAAACCAAAAAGGTTAAAAACAGAACAGGTAATCCTTAAGGGAAGTCCAATGGATTCAAACACCTATATGGGATAGGCTAACGCGTTTCGGGAGACGAACCCCCTTCCTCAGAGCTAGAGTGTAGTCACTGATGGGCACTGAAAGGCAGCACTCATAAATGGCACTGATAGGCAGCACTGACTAGCACTGATAGGCGGCACTGACTGGCACTGTTAGGCGGCACTGACTGGCACTGTTAGGCGGCACTGACTGGCACTGATAGGTGGCACTGACTGGCACCGATGGGTGACACTAAAAGGCAGCTCAGATGGGCACTGATATGTGGCACTGAAATGTGGCGCTGATGGGCACTGGCAGGTGGCATGGATGAGCACTGAGAGCTGGCACTGATGGACACTGACAGGTGGTGCTGCTGGGGCTACACAGATCATCAGGGCACACTGATCATCAGTGCTTTGATGATCTGTGTACATGTCCCCTCCGAGGAATGCCGATTACTGGCTCTCCTCAGCGTGACAGCTCGTGGGGAGAGAAATGCTGATAACCGGCATTTCCCTGTTTACATGTGATCAGCTGTGATTGGACACAGCTGATCACATGACCGAGCCAACATCTTTGGCTCTTTCCGTGGATCGGTGATCGGACACAGCGCACCGCCGATCGCCGTGCTGTGTGCTCCGGGAGCTGCGCATGCGTGTTTAGAATGGGAGGACGTCATATGACTTCCTCCCGGAACAAGAGAACCACCTTACATCCGCCATAATACTATATGGCGGGCGGGAGGTGGTTAAAGATTGGTCCCCCGCTCTCCATTAAGGATAGGCGATCGGAAATGGAAGTTGTCCTCCTACCCTCACTCCCTGAAGTCTTGTGGGACACGTAACAGGTCCAAGAAGACGACGGGGCCATTCAGAAAGCACAGCTCTATTGACGCATGCACAGTGGGCACCTGGCTGTGAAGCCGCAAGCTGTCACAGCCGGGTGCCCACACTGAAGATGCCGGCGCCTGTAATACAGGATGGCCGGTGAAACGGGATGTGGCGGGGGGCACCGTGGGATCGTGGGACAGGTGAGTGGCTGTTTTTTACATTTTTGTAGTTGCTGACTTCTAATTTTTTACAGCGTGAGTGGAACTCCACTTTAACAGAATGGGGGGAAGATTTACCAAAATTGGAGCAGTTCTGCGTGGTAACCAATCAGCTTCTAATTTCAGCTTGTTCGATTAAGCTTTGAAAAAACCTGGAAGCAGATTGGTTGCTATGCAGAGCTGCACCAGTTTTAGTAAACCTCTCCCAATGGGTATATGCATGCTTTCCTGAAGGCATTTTTAAAGTTTCCCCACCAGCTACTAAGCATTGAAATTTGCAATCCATAAAGTGTTTCTCTAGAGAGAACATACAGACAATGGACTTGGTATTCAAGACAGGTCACCATTCAAACACATTATGAGACAGTCTGTGTTTAGCTTTGAAGCCTGATAAGTAAGGGCTCGTTCACACTTGGCTGTTTTACCAACGCTTGCCAAACGCCCCTATAGCGTTTGGCAAGCGTTGGTCCGGCGTTTGCGGAGCGTTTTTTAAAGCTCGGCAAACGCTCCGCAAACGCCGCATGCGCGGTTTAGCGGTGGTTGCTAGGCATTTGCTGAGCGTTAATAACGCCCCACAAACGCCTATAATGCAGTTTGAGTGGTGTTACCGCTCCGCATACGCCCCGCAACCGAGTCGCAAACGCCGGCCGGGCGTTTGCGGAGCGGCACCATAGACGAGAATAGGAGGCTTCAACGCCTCCTGACTCGACCAGAGGCGTCCGTTTTGCCGCGACGCAAATGCTCCCGTTAGAACAGCACCATGTGCTGTAATGTGCAGAATTGGCAGAGGCATTTGGGAAGCGGTAAAAACGCTTCCCAAATGCCTCTCTGCCGCCTGCACACAAGGCTAGTGTGAACGTAGCCTAGGGCTGTGAACATTCTCAAGATGTTTCCCATTCGCTAATCCAACCTATCTGCATACTGCAAGGCTTCCCATCAGTACCAGCTGGGGACATCACACAGGCAGCAGCAGTGCAAGCACCAGAGGAATTACAAAGTACTGAACTTTCACATTAGTGTTTCAATACTAATTACAATTCCACGATGAGCTATGAGGAAAGATTAGAGGAACCAAATTTATTCTCTATTGAGAAGAGGAGATTAAGGGGGGATATGATCACCATGTATAATACATAAGGGGGGATATGATCACCATGTATAATACATAAGGGGGGATATGATCTCCATGTATAATACATAAGGGGGATATGATCATCATGTATAATACATAAGGGGGGATATGATCACCATGTATAATACATAAGGGGGGATATGATCATCATGTATAATACATAAGGGGGGATATGATCACCATGTATAATACACATAGGGGGGGGGGGATATGATCACCATGTATAATACATAAGGGGGGATATGATCAACATGTATAATACATAAGGGGGGATATGATCACCGTGTATAATACATAAGGGGGGGATATGATCTCCATGTATAATACATAAGGGGGGATATGATCACCATGTATAATACATAAAGGGGGGGATATAATCTCCATGTAGAATACATAAGGGGGGATATGATCTCCATGTATAATACATAAGGGGGGATATGATCTCCATGTATAATACATAAGGGGGGATATGATCACCATGTATAATACATAAAGGGGGGGATATGATCTCCATGTAGAATACATAAGGGGGGATATGATCTCCATGTATAATACATAAGGGGGGATATGATCTCCATGTATAATACATAAGGGGGGATATGATCTCCATGTATAATACATAAGGGGGGATATGATCACCATGTATAATACATAAGGGGGATATGATCACCATGTATAATACATAAGGGGGGAAATGATCTCCATGTATAATACATAAGGGGGGATATGATCTCCATGTATAATACATAAGGGGGGGATATGATCTCCATGTATAATACATAAGGGGGGGATATGATCACCATGTATAATACATAAGGGGGGATATGATCTCCATGTATAATACATAAGGGGGGATATGATCTCCATGTATAATACATAAGGGGGATATGATCACCATGTATAATACATAAGGGGGGATATGATCACCATGTATAATACATAAGGGGGGATATGATCTCCAAGTATAATACATAAGGGGGGATATGATCTCCATGTATAAATACATCAGAGGTTCATATAATGAACTCGGTGTAGAGTTATTCACCCTGAGGTCATCACAGAGGACAAGGGGGCACTCTTTACGTCTGGAGGAAAAGGAATTTATTCTCCAAACACGGAAAGGTTTCTTCACAGTAAGAGCTGTGAAAATGTGGAATAGACTCCCTCAGGAGTTGGTTCTGGCCAGCTCAGTGGATTGCTTAAAAAAAAAAAGGCCTGGATTGTTTCTTAGATACACAGAATCTAACTGGATACTAACATTTATAGGTAACGTTGATTCAGGAAATATCCGATTGCATCTCAGCGGGTTCAGGAAGGAATTTTTTCCCCTGCAGGAGCAAACTGGATAATGCTTTGCTGGTTTTTTTTTTGCCTTCCTCTGGATCAACTGTGGGTATATGATTATAACTTGTTTTTTTTACAATTGAACTGCACGGACTGTTGTCTTATTTCAGCCAGACTATGTAACTAACTTGATTCCTCCTCACTAAACACCAAAATGATAAAAATTGTGTTTTGTGGTGCACCCTGCCAGCTCCTCCCACCACCATGATCTGCCTGCATTGCATAGAGAAGCACAAAGACCTTGTGATGACATCACTGAATCTAAAATAAGGTATGCAATGAAAACATAAAGGTTTTAATTCATACTTATATTAGAATGTTGAGGAGGGGGGAAAGGAGAACCGGGAAAGGCAAAAATATAACCAAATTAAGCATCAGATTTAAAGCCGTATTAAACTCAAAATATATACTGCAGCTTACCAATCCTCCCAAGATGGTGGCTGCATTTTCTTTATTTATTTTTTTTTCCTTTTTTGCTCCTGGTGATTCAGCCACTAACACTTTCTGTCCTAGCATGTCTCCACTCTGGATGAAGTAATAAAGCAAACACCTTTAGACAGCAGCATTGTCAGTTTTGAGAAAGGGAAGTGTTAGACTAGCAGATATAGATGGACTTGAGTAACAAATTGAAGCTGAACAGCTAAAGTTAGTTTCCCTTTTGAGATAAAGGTTTTACATAAACAAATAAAAGCCAATAATTGTTAGCACCCATCAGTAGTAAATAGTTTCTATCAACCCTCTAACTGCTACTTTGTCTGGATAGCTTGATCTGTTAAAGTAAGCTGAAAAATAACAGACTTACTGGCTGGATCACCTGGTAAAAAAAAAAAAAAAAAGGAAAATGCCTGAAAAAACTAACGCAGCCACCACATTTAAGAATTGGTAAGCTGCCATTTATAACAATTTTGTTTTTGAGTTTACCACTGCTTTAAATTTCATCACATAATATCAACAACAAATTAAAATGTCAAATATGAATTACCCAGGCTTTATAAGCTTGTACCATACACAATAGTCATCTTGATAAGCAGTGAGACAGAGCTCTTCTCCCAAAGTAACCTTCCTCTCTTCAGGCAGGAAATACACACACTGCATCCAGTGATCCCGCCACTAGACATAAAAAAAATAAAAAAAAAAATAGAAAAACATCAGATGTTCTACACAGAACAATACCTAATAAAACAGTTTTAAACTACAACCTAAAAAATGAGGAGATATCTTTAAATGCCAAAAAGTTATACTTTTTGATTGTTAAAAAAAAAAAAAAAAGTATTTTTATATTAAAATCACAACACTGGCTGTCTGAAAAGAGGCGTTTTACGTTTCATTGTTTACCGGGACAGGATGGTCAGTGGGATACAGCCATCCTGGCTTCATGGTACAATTGATTTTGCCTTCAGGGTCCATATCGATGTCCCACCATGACAGAACAACCTGGGCGGCACCACTGGCCACAGATGTAAATGTCACAGGATGACAGACAGCAGAACTGCTGACTTGTTGGCTGAAATCCACTCTGCAATAGAGAAAGGAGTGAGAAAATGACATGACACAAAGGTACTCTCATACACATTTTATATTTAGGATCCTTTTACTATGATTTGGGTAATACAAATCCTTCAGACTAGAAGTCATAAAGAGATGCAGCACCCTCACTGTACTTGGTTCTCCATACCAACATTTTAGACCTCGATTCCTCAGCGTAAAGGCAAAAGTCAGTCACGGAAACGACTGTCTTTAACATGAACATATGAGATTTATTTTTGATATTTACTATAAGATTTTTAAAAATGTATTTTAGTAGGGTAATTATAAAATACTACATATCAATATATATTTACAGTGTGTAGCCAACAGGTGGAGCTCCAGAGTCTTCTAAGCATGTTTTCTACAGCTCTTTATTTTGAAATTGTAAAAAGAGGGGCATTAAAGAACGCAGTAGTGCTCTATTTCCAAATGTTGAACCAAGCAACCGTGTGCCAACCATTCACAGCTGAACAGTAAAGCCAAAATGATGCCGCTCTAGGTGAGTGACCGACTCTCATATGTGGTGAACTTGAACTCAGGGTGCTGCACAGCTTGTCTGTGAGATTCAGTAATATGCACAAATCCAGAATATTGCCACACTCCTTGGTATCTTTATTGGAGCATTAAAATTACATCACAGGTATGACAGGAACATTAAAAATGTGACACGTTTCACGATGATTTCAGCGCTTACTCAAACTTGTATGGTTTGACCAAGCGCTGACCTGAGCACGAAGCGTGTCATCTTTTTAATGTTCCTGTAACACCTGTGATGTCATTTTAATGCTTCAATAAAGATACCAAGGAGTGTGGCAATATTCTGGATTTGTACATATTACTGAATCTCACAGATAAGCTGTGCAGCACCCTGAGTTCAAGTTCACCACATATGAGAGTAATATTCCGGATTTGTGCATGTTACTGGATTCACAGCTGAACTTTCTTTACCCTTGATATGATCCCTTTCAAGATATCCTTATCCCACTAAAATTTACCATATATCCCAATGGGGTGCTGTAATAGTGTACAAGAGAGCCCAAAATGAAATTTAAAGTTTTGCATGTATATGCAGTAAAGCATGCTTGTTATACTAACAGTGGAACCTAAGGGGTTCATCCTCCGCATTGTGTAAAAAGGCTGATCCTGTCTTCTCTGATCCTCCCTTTCTTTTGCTATCCCCAATCCATCTGCTGATAGTACAGAGCCCTTTTGCATGTGATTGGCACAGGCCCAATCAGCACTGTCCAGACAGAGGGACAGGGGTCATGCAGCCTCACAGCACAGTCAGAGGAGAATGAAAACTCCTCCAACAAGCTTTAAAGCGGAGTTCCACTCACCCTCTCAAAAAATAAAAGTCAGCAGCTACAAAAACTGTAGCTGCTGACTTTTAAAAAACAGCCACTTACCTGTCCCTCGGTCCAGTGGTGTGTCCCCCGCCGTCCGTTTCACCGACCGTCCTGTATTCCAGGAGGCCGGCATCTTCAGTGTGGGCACCTGGCTGTGACTGCTTGCAGCTTCACAGCCGGGTACCCACTGCGCATGCGCGAGAAGTGCTGCGCTTTGTGAAGGTCCCGTAGTCTTCTGGGGCCTGTCACGTGTCCTAAAAGACTACAGGGAGGGAGGGAGGACACCTTATGTTTCCAATCACCTAGGCCCTGGAAGTGGGATCGGGTACCTGTCAAATTTGGGTACCCTCTCCCCCCCCCCCCGCCCCCGCAAAGGTGCCAATCCTTAATAGGGAGTGGGGGAGCAGTCCTTAAAGAAGAACTTCCCCTTTTGGGTGGAGCTCCGCTTTAACCAGTGCTTGGCCAGACACTGACAGAAATCACAAGACTGCTATATACTGCTGATGAGAAAAGGTATTGAGTAGTTTATATTTACTAAAATTGCATTTCCATGTTCTGTGTACTGTGGGAGACCAGATATAGTGAATGCAGGGTCCTGGGTTTAGTAACACATTAATTCCAAATACATTAGGTACGAATTCCAGCATTTTTTTTTTTCGGGGATCACCTGTTATTCCCTTTATCAGAGCTAAAACTTTAAATGTTAAACATAGAATAATAAATTCCCTGGACTAAAATAGTGCATAAAAAAAAGGAGTTCTCAAAATAGCTATTGGTATATTTCTGGTATATTTTGAGAATAACTGTGTACTATCACATTTACCTGCTGAAACCTTGCAAAATTATCTCAGTTATGTAAAGCAGTTGTACTTTATTGTAAATATATCTGACCAATCTGTGAATGTCTTCCAGTTTTTGGGCATTTGTTGTTTGTAGTGTAATGAACTATATTGCAGCAGAATTATTACAGCAATATGTCGCATAATTAGAAGTGATGTGGATCACTTTTTCAACAGACATATTTATCTGAAAATTATTTCCTAAATGCTTGAGGCCGTTTTAGGCAAAATGCTACAATTCAGCAAACCTGCGGCAAATTTTGCACACTTTTGCATAAACAAAACAACAGGGGCAAAGCCACGTGACAGAGGCTCTCACCTGAAAACGACCATAACGTCACTGAGTTTTTTGAAGTCATCTGTGTTTAGCTGGCTAAGCTGTACATCACAGACTGAAGGAGCTCCAGGACAGGTCTGAATTTCATCTGGAGGCTGGATGAGCTCATGGTCCAAGTTTATACAGAATAACTTATTCCAGCTCCAAATCCTGTGAGATTCCACCACTAACGCATATACTGTAGCCTGATGAGGCACTGCTTCCCACCGCTCCTGTAAGTATGCACCAGCAGAGATGGTAGACAGGAAAACACAAGTATTAGTTACGGTTGGTATAGTGATACATATGCACACCATACAGAACTTCCATTGGCCTCAGGTACCACTAATTTATTACTTCTGAATGGCAGCAAATTTAAGACATTTTAAAGGCAGTTTTTATTTTTTTAAAAACAAACATGTTATACTTACCTGTTCGGTGTAATGGTTTTGCACAGAGCAGCCCCAATCCTCCTCTTCTTGGGTCCCCCTCTGAAGCTCCTGCTCCCTCCCCCTTGCCGAGTGCCCCCAATAGCAAGTCGTTTGCTATGGGGGCACGTGTGCATGCTCGCTCCCAAGCAAACTCTGTGTGTCCATAAGCTTCATCCTCACTGGCTGTGATTGACCTGACTGGCTGTGACTGACCTCACTGGCTGTGATTGACAACAGCAGGAGCCAATGGCTCCCACTGCTGTATCTGAGCCAATGAGAAGGGAGAGAGCCTCAGCTCTTGTGCACATCTCTGTATTGAGATCGGGCTCAGGTATTTAAGGGGAGCTGGCAGGGGAGCTGCTTGCAGAAGGTTTTTTAACTTCATGCATAGAATGCATGAAGGTAAAAAAAAAAAACCTTCTGCCTTTACAACCACTTTAATTAATAACGCAATGATTAGTAAAAACAAATGTGAATTTCCAGAATGTGCAGTATCACTATGAAAAGCACTGAAGAGAAGTACTCATAAAAGGAATCCAAAAGTTAATTCTAGTTTTATACCTATGAGTGAAATTTCTCCTGGGTCCATTAGGGGACATCTGTGAATAGTGTTCTTAAAGTGAAACTAAACCCTCCAATACTTTACAGCCAAGGAAGCTACCATCTTAGCCTCTGTTTGATCTGCAGTTGCCATGGTGCTGTATGCATGATCAGTTATGACACCAGAAATGTGATGGCTTGACAGTTCAGTTGAGAGAACAAGCAACTGTGACAATTATCATTCACGGTATGCCTTGAATGTTTTGGGAAACAGTTCAATCAGTAAGTTTAGTTCTGCTTTAAGTACTGTGTTACTACACTACAGTCAGATTGTACCATATCCTTTACATTTTCCAACTACTATAAAAAGGAAGTCTGCTTTGTGAGGACAAATTTACCATAGAACAGTCTGGAGACAGACTAGGAAAAAAACAGCCACAGGGTAATAGAGAAGCATATTCTAGTGGCAGCTGAGTGCAGAAATTGGCAAAAAAAGAGATGTGCTAAGACATGTTCCCTCATGTGAATGGCCCGCCTGAAACAATAAATAGAGTAGGTGCTCATGCACCAGGACACAGGAAAATTCTAAAGCAGGATGATGCAGTGTTAGCCACAGGAATGGGAGCAATGGGTGTACAAGAAGACACAGCAGGAGCAACAGGTGGAAGGATGGCCAAAGTGAAAGAGCAACAGCAAAGGAATCATAAAGAGATGGGGCCAATGAGCCACAGGTGATCTCCCAGAAGTGACCATCTCACATATGCAGTGGTGTATTTAGATTTTGTGCTGCCCTAGGCAACACAAACATTTTTGCGCCCCCGCCCCAATGAGAAAGCGAGAGAGTTCAAGAAGTGTATGTATATATATATATATATATATATAAATATATATATATAATTCTCTCTTTCCCCTCTCTTTCTCTTCCCCCCTCTTCCTCGGATCATATGTGACCCCCCCCCCTCCAAGGACTGCTGATCTCCAGGCAGCAGGAAGGGGGGAGATGTGTGCTGTCCCATACCATCTGTCAGTGTGTAATGTACTGGATGGATGACAGGAGGGAGAGCTCACTGAAGACAACACAGCTCACCTCCTCCGGGCTGTTTCCTCTCTGCCGCTTCTCTCCCTGCTCCAGGCTGTCCCCTGGTCCTGGCTCGTCAGCTGCTGGAGGGAGAGATACACAACCGCCCCCCCTAAAAATTGCCGCCCTAGGCAAACGCCTTGTTTTCCTCGCGGTAGATACACCCCTGCACATATGGCCAACCAAAAAAATGACTAAAGGAATTAGCAGGAAGCAAAGGAATGCCCAGCCAACAGACAAGCAAGCAACAGTAGACAGTTATGGATCAGTACATAGCACTACAAAAATACTACCTGAGAAATTTTTATGTTTGATGAACATCTTTTATCTTCTACTGAAAACAAGCACTAAGCTAACACTGCATGTTTGAGTTGCTTATACCTGCATAAGATTTTGCTGGGCATGTTCATAACTAGGCAAGGCCCCTTCTCCTATAAGCTCAGTATCAAACAGTTCTGTGATGAGGATGTTGGCACGCTGCAGCATGTCTCCATCTGTAACAAAAAATTTGTAATGTGTAACATAACCAACGAAAATTACAGTTTAAGAAGACAAATGTATCCAGAGCAAAACAACTATTCATCCAGCAGCAACACCATGAGCAAGACCCATGACAGGCTGGTGCATTTCACCCCCCTGCTGTGGCTTAATCATAGGTTTGTAGAATCTTCGGAGTCATCCAACAGACTATGGTGATTAAAGTATTAACAGATATTTTTGTAAAGATGCATGTATTTATCAGCACCACTCAGCACTGCCCTTAGTGCCAAAAGAGGGGGTTAATTATGTATTCCTAACTCGAAAAAGTACCTTTTACTTCTCTCAGCCCCCTGCAAATCTTCAAAGCTTTTTTTTTTTTTTTGCTGTGATTCGACTTGTTAGAGGGTGACTACATTCATTTTTCATGGATCTCATTGTATGTATAATTGTAGCCACCCTCTTTGGCTTTCTCCTGAGATGAACTATGGACTATGGGATAGTGGTGTAGTTTGCATGGAGCAGTGCACATGACTGCAACTAACATGCACTGCTCTTTCCAAACAAATAGAAATCTGGGGAAAAGGAGAGGTTTGGGAGCTCACATAGGACATTACAAGTTAAAAGAAAAAACATGGAAAATGTATTACAAGGCCACTAAGTAGCAGACGTGTGCCTGTGGGGCACTGATGCCACTTTAGCACACAGCTTGCTGAGGGGATACTGGATAGAATAAGGAGCAGACAATGCTGGAGGGTGACCATCAAAGAAGAGGTAAGCAACCACTCTGTGCAATATCATTTTACAGAGCAGGCAAATATAAAATATCTTTTTTTTTTTTCCCCAAGAAACAGAGAAAAAAACATAGTCTTTAATATCGCTTTAAAATAGTCACTATGAATAATGTAATATTTATGAAACATTTAAAGTCTAGTTCCAGGCATGGATATTCTATACTTAGTTACTGTATTTCAGCTTGGACCTATGTAACTATGTATATACCATAGAAGCACAACAATACAGATCACTTCCTGCACATAAGAGTGATAGGCCAGTACAGGTGATTAAAAGATCTCCACATCACAAGGATAGTACTTCAAGCTTTGCTGCCCTCTCAAGACTGGGGATGTCCTGGAGTAACTCTAAAGAACAAACAAAAGAAGGCACACCAGCCTAGATGACACCAAGCTTTGCAGTGGAATAATGTCCTTACAGGATGTGTCCAACTTACAAGCCGTCCTCAATGCACTGTTTAATTGGGCAACTATGTGGCAAATGAGGTTTAATGTTGATAAATGTAAGGTTATGCACTTGAGGGCTAAGAATATGCATGCATCATACATACTAGGGGGGGTACAACTGGGGGAATCAATGGTGGAGAAGGATCTTGGAGTTCTGGTAGATCACAAGCTTAATAATGGCATGCAATGCCAAGTTGCGGTTTCTAAAGCGAGCAAAATCCTCTCTTGTATTAAAAGAGGTATAGACTCCAGAGAGAGCGATATCATGTTACCCCGGTACAAATCATTACTAACACCTCATCTGGAATATGCAGTTCAGTTTTGGGCACCAATTCACAAAAAGAACATTGGGGAACTGGAGAAAGTACAAAGAAGGGCAACTAAACTGATAAGAGGCATGGAGGAGATCAGCTATGAGGAAAGATTAGAGGAACTGAATTTATTCTCTCTTGAGAAGAGGAGATTAAGGGAGGATACGATCAACATGTATAAATACATCAGTGGTTCATATAGTGAACTCGGTGTAGAGCTATTCACCCTGAGGTCATCACAGAGGACAAGGGGGAACTCTTTACATCTGGAGGAAAAGAGATTTAATCTCCAAAAATGGAAAGTTTTCTTCAAAGTAAGAGCTGTGAAAATGTGAAAAAAACTCCCTGAAGAGTTGGTTCTGGTTAGCTCAGTGGAACGCTTTAAAAAAAAGGCCTGGATTCTTGTCTAGATGCACATAATATAACTGGATACTAACATTTATAGGTAAAGTTGATCAAGGGAATATCCGATTGCCTCTCGGGGGATCAGGAAGGAATTTTTTTTTCCCTGCAGGAGCAAATTGTATCATACTTTGGTGCTTTTTTTTTGCCTTCCTCTGGATTAACTGTGGTTATATGATTAATTTTTTTTTTTTTTTTATATGGTTGAACTAGATGGATGTTATTTCTTTTTCAGCCAGGCTAACTATGTAATTATCCTACCATATATATTAAAAATCCACATAAAATATATGCTCACAAACGTGACTAGAGATAGCATATCGGGCTACTTATCCGTAGTCTAATAGTCCACTATTGGCTGGTACTCCTGTTTGTGTTTTATGCATATACCATACGTGGCCGATGCACCTGGAAGCTGGAATTCACTGAAGTAGATGCCATTATTCCTGTGATCTCCACTTGTTTCATGGTCCAGTGCTTAACGGCTGCGCCTCTGCTCAGTGAACACTCGGCACAAACGGCATTCAGAGAATTATGTAGAACTATGTCTCACCTGGTCCCAGTGTCACCTCTTTTGAATGCTTGTTGATAACTTTTATCTTGTCACCAAAGCCATTGGCTTTTACTATCTGCATAGCTGCCTCTGCCATAGGAGTAAACACCTGCAATTAAATCACAATTATAAGTTAATTTTTACCAACAATTGTTGCCTGAATGCTCTTACCAATGATGAAGTTCTGGCAGAAATTAGAGATGGTGTAATGAAAACATGCCAATGAGTACATACACCCAACCAAACGACAAGGTCCCACATTTCTAAGAAATATAAAATGAAACGGACTGCTTACCTCAACAGCATAACAATAGTCTGCTCCGGCTGTGACTGCCATCATTGACAGAAGTCCGGTTCCAGTCCCAATATCTAAAACAATGGCTTTCTCCCCTCTTTCTTTTACTCTCTTCACAGCTGCACGGATTCCTTGATAATACTTTTCATTCTGCAGGAGACATAAGACTTGTGAGTTCAAAGAGTACAAAGTGATCAGGATCATGAAAAAGGACAAGAGTATCTTTTACGGGTCTTTGCAACCTAATTCCTGGGTTTAGCTGTAGCTTAACATACATTAATGTCACTCCTCAACAAGAAAGTATTAAGTCCAAGACTTAAGTTGGCCATAGATGAGTCAGTTTTTTGTTGTTCAACCAGCGGGTTGAATGAAAAAACTGACCTGATTCCCCCATCTACACACTTGAGGTGAATGGGGGAATCTTTCCCAATGTGTCTTTGTATTTTGATAGTGAGGAGACTTCTCCACCATCAGAGTACACTGATCGTAATAGCCTTCAGCGCTGATCAAGTGGTCATTTTCTATGACAGTGGTTGTACCAAAGTCAATCGGCAGAACCACAGTGCCCATACATGGATCGAAATGCGGCTGGTCCCTGCTTAATCGGTCAAATTTTGATCCATCTATGTGCAGCTTGAGGGTGTCCATACTGTGATCGAAATTTGGCTTCCCACACATTGACATCAATCTAAGCCCTGGTTCACACTGAATGAGACTGTGAAACTGCACTACTTCACTTAAAGTAGATCGATTTCAAAGCCAACAGTCAGTGCGATTTCATGTGCGCTTGCCTGACATTGCACATGAAATCACCTAAAACAGTGCAGGAATCTTTTTCAAAATTGGTGCAAGTAGGAGTCACACCAATTTGAATGGTTCCATAGGAACAAATAGGGTGTGACTTCTCATGTGATTTTGAACTGTCAAATTGCATGACAAATCGCATTGGTGTGAACAGGGCTCTAGAGACACATTGGAAAATGTGTATTGATCAGCGAATGCAGCTAATTGGCTGCAGCTGCTGGCTAGTGTTAATTTTCTTTGGCTAGCTTTTAATAAGTTAAGGTCTGCTTTAAGATGGATTGCTGCACTGATTCAAACTGTTTGAATGTTAGTTCCCAGTAATGAATGAATAAAGGAGTGGACACATGCATGTCTATGAAAATATTTGTTCATGAACACTTAAACTTTGTAGGCATAAAAACTACTACAGCAGGCATGGTTTTTAGGCTTCATATGATCTTACACCTCTTTGGTGGCCCTCCCCTACTGTAAAGCTGGCCATACACTAGTAGATTTTCAACGAACATTTGTCCAAAAATTCTGAGCATAGATGAATGTCATTCAAAAGTACTTCAAAGTTTTGTTTGCTTTTAACATTCAATTTCGGAATGAATGGACTTTCCTGAACACTGCACTTGTAGGCGCTGCAGGTCTTGTAGACCCCGGCCTGCAGTCAGTTCTCCACACCCCTCAAACCTTCCCTATCCAGGAAGCAAACCCTGGGGCTGTGTGTTTTACGAATGGTGGGGAGCTGTACTAACCCCAGCATGTAAACAAGCAGGACATAGAAGTGTACCTGCATTGTGATGATTAGCTTCTCAGGAAAAGGAATGTTTTACTGCTGAAAATCTGTAATCATGCCTGCAGTTGGGTTTTAACATATTCACAAAAGCAAATGTTCAGCTTGCAAAATCTTTGCCCCCCAGAGCTGAAAACAGACCTTGTCTTTATCTCTGGTGGTGTCAGGAGGTGATACTCTGCATTCCAGACACAAGCAACTGCTTCCCCTACCTGGAGCACCAAATGTTCTTTATTATTTCCACAGGTGATAACAGCAAGTAAAGGCTTTCAGTGCTAAAGGCTGTCAGTGCATGAGGGGGTGGGGGTAGTAAAAAAATCCCCCTTCATCTGGGCTTGTACAATGTATCAATGTGTCCAATGGATTTAAAACAAACTCCTGGGTATGCAAATCTATGAGAGTAGAAAGTGTTGAATGAGGTGGCACTGATAACCTGCACTGATGGGGCTGAAATTATATCAGTGCCCTGATTATCATTGTAAACAATCTACTCACTGTGCCCTGTCAGACTGTGTGAGGAAAGGAGAGGCAATAACTGCCAGAGACAGCGTGTGAGGAAAGGAAACAGCAATAACTGGCAAGTCTGTTTACATGTGACCAGCTGTGATTGGACACAGCAGATCACATGGTAAAGGGCAGCTCTGATTGGACACAGCTGATCACATGGTGAAGGGCCGTTGTGATTGGCCCTTTACCATGATCTGTGCACAGAGCACACCCGATGTGTGTGTAGCAGGCGTGCACGTGCACGTGGGAGGACCTCCAGACATCCTCCCAGAGCTGGAGAGCTATAGACGAAAGACGGCTATAGCACGGTTGGAAAGTGGTTAATATTTAAATAAAAAATCATATAAAAAACTAATAACTATAAAATCATATGAGCTTGAGCCCATTTATTTAATTTAAATTTTAAGAAAGAGAACTTGGATCTCTAGGGTAAAATATTCAAAATGAACCTCAAGGGGGTATAAAGTTCCTCTGTAATCTATGCAGTGACCAACAACAAGTATTTATCATACTTACACGGTCTTTGTCATGTAACATATCAGCATAGGATGATCTGAAAGGAATATTTGGAGAATATCAGTTCAGGAACCGGAAATGTATCTGATATATTCAAACACCACATCATCTTAGTAAAATATTACCGCACAGATGTTATTGCATTTCGAACATTCAGCTATAATCACTGTTGACCATCCCCTACTCCTCAAAAAACTCCACTCTCTTGGCCTCAGAGACTCCGCTCTCTCCTGGTTCTCCTATCTATCGCAGTGCTCCTTCAGTGTTACCTATAACGCTGCCACCTCCTCTTCACTCCCTCTCTCTGTAGGGGTCCCTCAAGGTTCTGTCCTTGGACCCTTCTCTTCTCCATCTATACCTCCTCCCTTGGTCACTTGATAAACTCCCACAGCTTCAATTACCATCTCTATGCTGATGACACGCAAATCTATCTGTCTACCCCTCACCTCACCTCTTCAGTCTCCACCCGCATCACTAGCCTACTAAGTGACATATCGGATTGGATGTCACTCCACTTCCTCAAACTCAACCTTTCCAAAACTGAGCTCTTAGTATTCCCCCCTGCCCGTGCCCCCTCCCGACTTCACCATCAATATCGATAACACAATCATTAGTCCATCCCCTCATGCCAGGGTACTAGGTGTAATCCTAGACTCCCATCTGTCCTTCCAGCCCCAGATCCAATCGCTGACAAAATCATTTAAACTTCACCTCCGCAACATCTCTAAGATACGACCGTTCCTAACCCCGGAAACCACTAAGCAACTTATTCACTCCCTTATTATATCTCGCCTCGACTATTGTAACTCCCTCCTCATTGGCCGACCTCATCGCAGGCTATCCCCGCTTCAGTCTATCATAAACACTGCTGCCAGACTCATCCACCTTACTAATCGCTCTGTATCTGCCACCCCTCTCTGCCAATCCCTCCACTGGCTCCCAGTTGCCCAACGGATAAAATTCAAAACACTAACAATGACATATAAAGCCGTTCATAACACTGCCCCAACTAACATAACCGATTTTATCTCTAAATATCAACCCAAACCGTACACTCCGCTCCTTGCAAGACCTCCTACTCTCTAGCTCCCTTATCTCCTCCTCCCATGCTTGTCTCCAAGACTTCTCCAAGGCGTCACCCATCCTCTGGAACTCCCTACCCCAATCTAACAGACTATCACCTAATCTACTTACCTTTAGGCGATCACTGAAAACCTATCTCTTCAGGGAAGCCTATCCCGCCCTCAGCTAATACTGGAATCCTTCTACTCTTCCAACCACTCCATCCCCCACAGTTTTACCTATTGTACCATTCACCCCTCCCTCCTAGATTGTAAGGTCCAAGGAGCAGTGCCCTCAATTCCCTCTTGTATTGAACTGTATTGATACTGTATTGTCTCTGTATTTTGGCGCTATATAAATCCTGTATAATAATATTAATAATAATCTCAAATACCAATTCTACGAAAATTGAAAATGTGCCCTCGCTGCAAGGGTGAACTGCTGGTTTAGTCTAGGGAAAAGGAGAAGCACTTTAGACTACTTGATCCTCTTATCCCTCAGCAGTCCTCCATGCTCCAGAGGAAGACTGTCCCTCAGCGTCATTATGTCCAGTGCAGGGCCATGGGCCCTAAATTGGTCTGGACAACATCAGGACCTCAGACCTGATGCAGGGACCAATCTAGCACTGCAGAGGATCAGGTAAGTAAATCTACTTAAACAAGTCCCCTAGACCTAAATGAGCAATTATGCCTTGCAGTGTTGGTGCAGCCTCACTGCAAGGAAAATTTTTTACATTTCCTGGAGTTAGACTTTAAAGTGGAACCAAATCCTCCTATTGTTTTCAGCCAAGGAAGCTTCCATCTTGGCCTCTGTTTGATCTGCAACTGTCATGCTACATATGTGAGTTACGACACCAACCATTTGACATTGACATTTTGGTTGAGAACATAACCAATGTGACAGTTACATTCCTGGCCCATGACGGGAATAGAACTGTGTTTTGAAACTGTTAAATTGATGGGTTTAGTTCTGCTTTAAGTATCATCCAGTTATGTGACATTAACATGGGGGGCTGAACCCAACCCCTTCACACCGACGTCACACAAATATGCGGCCTCACAGAATTGGGCTTTTTTTTCTGTGGGGCCGCATATTTGCGTACCTGTCTTTGTGCTCGGAGAGCAAAGCCCGGGGTGTCACTGAGAGCCCCGGGTCCCGTTCTCATGATCGATTCCGGGTCACATGATCGCTGTGATAGCCTCTGATTGGCTATCACAGTGATCAGTCACAGTATAGCCCTACCCCCTTGTTTTTCTATGAATGGAGGAGAGAGATACATTGTATCTCTCAGGGGTGGACTGACAACTCATGGGGCCCCCGGGCAATAGGGGACCATGGGGCCCTGTGTCCTTGCCCAAACTCAAAAAAGCCTATGAAAAAGGTACCAGGGGCATCTCATGGGGCCCCCTACTGACCCCGGGCACCTGGGCAGTGCCCGAGTTTCCAAATGGTCAGTACGCCCCTTGTATCTCTCCAACTCCTGGCATAGAGGTAAAAAAAGTTTGTTAAAAAAAAAAAGATAAATAAATATTAAAAAAGAAAAGAAAAAATACCTAGATCAAGGTTTGCTCTAGTTCAGTGCCAGGGTAAGTGTTTGGGTCATTGTCAGGGTCAAATGATTAGGGTCAAAGGTCAGGATTTTTTTTTTTTTTTAATTGGTATCAGTGTCAATGTGTTTTAGGTAAAAACAAAAAACAAAAGCGCACTATTGTTTCTGGGCTGTACTATGGGTACAAACAACAAATAACATACACATATATGGTATTGCTACGATCGTCAAGTGCTGGAACATTTATTTTGGGTTGTTCTTTGGTGGTAGGTTATGGTAGTACCAAGAAACACAGCTAAATTAAAAAAAATGTTTTTTTTTAAATTATTTTGGGCCAGTTTTCCTTTGATAATAAAAAAAAAAAAATCAGGAGATATCCATTGCCAATTACCAACAAATGAAAGCCGAATTTGTTTTGAAAAAAACAAGATATAATTCACCTGGATGTACAAAGTAGTTGTGTTGATATGTACGGTTTTACTAACACATGTCAACGTTGCAAAATTGTGCTTAGGCATTAAGATTTGTTTGACCCTTAGGTGTGAAGGGGTTAAAGTGGAACTTTAGGTAATAAATAAAAAAAGGGCCGACAGGCATAATTTTTAAGGCACAAGAGACATGCTTTTTCTCCCCTGCATTAAAGCTACTTACCTGCCTGTCCTCCCCTGTAAATTGAGCTGCGCCTGCAATGCCGAATTTGACAGAACTAGTGACATCATCCCGGCCCAGCCAATGACAGCAGCCAGTGTTCGAGACCTGGAAGATGTTGGCGGCTGGCGGGGAGCTCCAGGACAGCGCATTGCAGGATCAGAGGAGAGTATAGTTCAGCTTTAATTTTTCTTTCCAGTATATGTTGGGATTGTACTTCTATCCTGGGCTTCAGACAGAATTGAAGGGAACTCTCCCACAGCAACACAGAACTCAATAAAAATGCTTTCATCCAGTGCAGGGGAAGGCTGTTTGTAATTCTTTGTGTTGCTGTTGCAGATGATTTTTTCCTGTCTTCCTGTCTGGAAACTATGGTCAGCAGGACAGAAAGTGAGGGTATGGCCTAGATAGCAGTAAAAACCTAACATGGGCTCTAATCCTCCCAAAATTAGGAAAAAAAGTTTTTGGTTTGAGCTACACTTTGAGGTCTATATAAAAATAAACTGACTATACACACGACAAATATTCACACAGCTTTAAATAAAATCACTGTTTCTGTGTAATATGATTATTTTCTATGATCGTAAGCTTCATCTCATTGCCATAATGAGTGTTTTTTAAGACTACTTCGGTCAGGAAAAAAATATTGCATTATGGCCACTAGTTGGCGCTAATGATCATAGGAAATCATATTACAGAAAATACATTACTTTTTGTAGTACATATCTGGCATGTCATGACTGAAACAAATACAAATAGACGTTTTTTTTACAAGTGAATACGAGGCACTGTTATACCAGTGAAGTATTTGTACATCTCATATTTGCCAATTTTTTTTTGCCAAAACTCACCTGGCAATCTCTTGGTGATAATCATAGTCCTCGCCTTCTTCCACCCAATCTACTGCCCCTGTTGTAGGGTTAACACGACCACAAAAAACCATGGTTGGGTAAGCATTCACCTTGGACTATTACTGCAGCAGAAACCTGGAAAGCAAAATTTTTACATCCATTACAAGCTCAGCTAATCTGACAGGTGAAGGGTATGAAAGGCTAATTCCTACAAACATCAATAAGTGTAACAATGGGTACAAATGAATGTAGCTCTCCTCTCATTAAATGTATTTTAAATGCAAGCCATGTAAGTACCTGAACCTGACTTGATATCAGCCTCTTGCAGTCTACTCTACAGTCTGCACAGCAGAGCTCAGAGAGGGGGTGAAGCAGCACAAAGAGCCAATGGGCTGTGCTGAAGTGTAAGGATTATAAAAAGAAAATGAGAGCAGAGTGACAGACAGATGAACTCATCAGTGTACTGCTTCTATTTTCACTTTCCAATTGTAGGTAGGGAGTGGGGAGGAGACTTGCAAGTGAAAGTGAAACTGCATTAAAGAACGGTCAGCCCCCTATCCTTTGCTGGACAGAACTGTGCTGTGTTTGTAAAGGAGTAGATTAAAAGGTGCTGGTACCTTTGAGGCTTAGTATATCTAAATTATATATTGTTATCATGTAATTATCTGATGGTGGTGTACTATAGGTGATCTGGATGACAGACACCTCGGGTTGTAATAAAGATGAATGGGTTTAGCATTGAAGCATCCCAACATAATATTAGAGTCCAGATATATAGTAGATTTATTCCAAAGACAAATATTTACCAGAAGCCAATGCGTTTCAGGACCTAGGCTCCCCCTTTATTAGGGCCTAAAGAATAATGTAGGCTGACTCTAATGCAGGCCATAGATGGGTCGAAAATCGGCTGATTTTTCCGCCGAAAAAAAAAAAATCGGCCAATTTTCACACCGTTAATGGGTTAATTGGTTGGCGTTTTTCTGGATTTTGGCACATTTTTTTGATCGGTAAAGTTGGAAAAAGATCGTCCGATTTTGCCGATCGGCTGATTTTCGCGGCAATGATGAGCATATCGGCCGATCTTTTTACCGATAAAAAAATCTGCACATGAGCCGTGACCTGCAAGAAAAAGAAAGAAGAAAAAGAAGAAGAAAAAGAAGAAGAAGAAGAAAAAGAAGAAGAAGAAGAAAAAGAAGAAGAAAAAGAAGAAGAAGAAAGAAGAAGAAAAAAAAAGAAGAAGAAAAAGAAGAAGAAAAAGAAGAATAAGAATTCCAGTCCGCTATTATATTTGACATGAAAAAGTATTGCGGTTGCAACATTGTATCTATTTGTATCCGAATTAAAACATCTGTATCCGAAATGGATACAAATAGATACAATGTTGCAACCGCTATACTTTTTAATGTCAAATATAATAGCGGGGCTCTCTGCAGGGACAGAAGTAATTAAATGCCGGCCGTAGACGGGACGAAAATCGGCTGATTTTTTTTACCGTTGGTGGTAACGTCGGCCTATTGAACAACCGGTATTTCGTTTTTTTTGTTAAAAAAACTGCCGTTTTTCAACCCATCTATGGCCTGCATAAGATCAGTCTATAATTGGGTGTGATGATAATGGGCTACATTCACATAGACAACTGTATATGACAGCAGCTAAATGCAAATAATCTGTGCCTGAAAAAGTTAATATATTTCCTGCAGATAGTTGTGGTTTGTAAATGAGTTTAAGGCTCCATGTACACGGGACACTTATGAACGATGGAAACTGACTGCTGGAAAACGTAGGTTCAAAAACGTCAGTTTAGCTGCGTTTATGCGCATTTAAGAGCGTTTGCGTTTAGAAGCATTTTTTAAAGATAACCTCAGGAGAACTTCCAAAATGCCCAGAATGCACTGAAAAACAGTAAAAAAATTAACTATTTCAGACATTTTGAGAGAAATAGAGAGAGCAGAAGCAGAGAGAGCAGTATTTGTTGAGATTAGCTGTCTCTTTTTTATTTGTGGTGTTTGGATGTGTTCCAGCTCATTTCTGTGCAGAAATTATTGCAGCAATGTCTAACATATTTTCTTTCATGCGAAACCTCAAAGTATGGTGTACCAGGTCCAAAATTTCCAAACGCAAACGCTTATAAACGCGGTTAGCCGCTGATAAAATCTACTCCTGAACGCAAGTTTGGTGCGTTCAAAAAAACGACTGTAAACTCAACTGCCTGTAAACAACATAGTGTACATGGACACATAGGAAAACATTAGGGAGAGTTCAGGGGCTGCTGAAAAAAATGCTGAACAGCTCCTGAACGCGAGTTTATCAGCTGCAGTGTACATGGAGCCTAACTGTGTTTAGCTGAATCAGCGTGTTCCAGCTTTTTTTTTCTCAATACCCCATTCTTGGGGGGATGTTATACCTCTTCCACTATGTTGGTAGTTTTCTGAGCAAGGAGATAGAGTTGTGTAGTGTAATAGAATGGAATGGAGTGCAGAGCAAAGCTGGTGTTTACCATGGTGTACCTTCTTGAGAGGAGAAGATTGGGGCGAGTTCACACACACAACACTACTATTAAAAATGCCCTACATGGTAATACACTACTATGTGAGTTGGTGCCTCCAAACGTACTGAGCTGAAATCTGCAATTTGGGACGCTGCTGTGAACAAATAACCACTTCCAGTCTGGGCTAAATCTGACATTCCTCTCCCACATGTAAAAAAAAAAAATCATTATTTGCTAAAAAAAAAAAAACCTACTTTGAACCCCTCGCCCCCCCCCCAAAACATTATATATTTTTTAAGCAGAGGTCCTAGAGAATAAAATGCTGGGTGCTGCATATTTTTAGGTCACACGGTATTTGCGCAGTGGTATTTCAAATGCAAATTTGAGAAAAAATATACTTTTATGAATTTTAATGCACAAAAAAAACACAATATAATACCCCATTTTGGGTAAAATATAATTGTGCATGCCTGTGGAACGGCGCCAAACTATGGCACCTAAAAATCTCCATAGGCAATGCTTTAAAAGCATTTACAGATCACCAGTTTAGAGTTACACAGGAGGTCTGGATTATTGCTCTCGCTCTGACATTCGTAGTGATACCTCACATGCGTGGTGCGATCGCTGTTTACATATGTGTGTGAGACCGACACGTGTTCTTTGCATGCGAGCACGGTGGGATGGGGGCACTTTAAAAAAAAAACTTTTTTTAAATTATTATTTATTTGATTTTTTCTACAACAACATCCGTTCCTTCCACTGTGTGTCAGGAGCAGGATGCTGCTGTTCGAATCCTTACCTGGCTCCCCGATCACATGGGACCCCTGTCTGCTGCCTATGAAAGTGAATTACTTATAAAAGATGCAGAATTGCAAGTTGTAAAGAATGATATCTCAGTAATCGCTGCAGCAATGACCGAGATATTACTCTTCCCATCCAATGGCGTTCAGGTACGTTCTATGGACGGTAAGTGGTTAATTGGCACCCACTTGCAGGTCGCAAGAGTAGTGCGGTCCCCGGCAAATGAAGAAGATGGGTACACTCCCTAACATCCTAGCACCTAACCCAGGCAGATCTCGATAAATTTGACAACTTTAGCAGAATGTCAGTGTCCACCTTACTATTGTTAGATCATATCTGCAAAGAATCAATACCGACATGAGGATGTATGAGAACCAACATGAGGAGGAATACCAACATTTCAGGAAGAAAAGGGGGAGTGTGTCATATTCTGCTGCTAAATGCAAAGCGGGCTTAGCTGCATAGTGCACCCTGGATGCAGCACTTTCCTTCTTTTCCTAAATGCAGTGAAACTGTCTGCAGCTAAATACTGCTAATCGATATGTGACACAAATTTATTTATTACAGGTTCTGGTATAGCACTGTCAGTGCTTTACATATATATTGTATATTCACATCAGTCCCTAACCCTGAAGAAATGTACAATCTAAGGTCCCTAACTCACATTCATACATACACATACTAGAGCCAATTTAGACAGGAGCCAATTAACCTACCAGCATGTCTTTGAAGTGTGAGAGGAAACCAGAGTACCCGGAGGAAAACCCACGCAGGCACAGGGAGAACATGCAAACTCCAGGCAGGTGGTGCCGTGGTTGGGATTTGAACCAATGACCATAGTACTGCCAGGCGGAAATGCTAACCATTTAGCCACTGTGCTGCACATCGTGATAACACACAAGACCTCCTACTCTCCAGTTCCCTGGTCTCCTCCTCCCATGCCCATCTCCAGGACTTCCCCCATCCTCTGGAACTCACTACCCCAATCCATCAGACTGTCACCTACCCTCCTCACCTTTAGGCGCACCCTGAAAACCCATCCCTTTAGAGAAGCCTACCCCGCCCTCACCTAAGTGCCGATCTCCTCCACTCTTCCTACCACTCCATCCCCCACAGCTATTTCCTCCTGTATCACTCTCCCCTCCCTCCTAGATTGTAAGCTCCAAGGAGCAGGGCCCTCGAACCCCTCGTGTATTGTATTGTTACTGTACTGTCTCATGTATTGTCTCCCATTGTAATGTAAAGCGCTGAGCAAACTGTTGGCGCTATATAAATCCTGTGTAAAAATAACAATAATAACACAATTACTTTGCATTGTATGAGTCCTGCTGATTATATGAAATGCAGCTACATCGACATTTAGATGTCAGTGTGAATGTACCCAAACACTGGGAGAGTATTTACTAGAAGAAAGCGCACCAACCTTGTGCATTACCTCATTAAACTGTCATTTATTGAATAAAGAATAATACAAACAAGGAAGTATAACAAACGTTTAAAGTCCTTAACGGAACTCAGGAGAGTAGAACCAGTGCGAGTCACATTACAAGGGTAGACTCTCAAAGTGAGGCTGACGCGTTTCGAAGGGGGGGGGGGGGGTCCCTTCTTCATCAGCCTCACTTTGAGAGTCTACCCTTGTAATGTGACTCGCACTGGTTCTACTCTCCTGAGTTCCGTTAAGGACTTTAAACGCTTGTTATACTTCCTTGTTTGTGAGTATTATTCTTTATTCAATAAAATCACAGTTTACTGAGGTAATGCGCAAGGTTGGTGCACTTTTTGTTTCACTTTACAGTATCAGTCGGGCTTCCCCAGCCTTGTTTAGAGCTGCACAACCTTCCAAGCATTGGTGGTCGCAATTTCTTGAACTTTTTCAAGGTTCCTTTCCATCCTTCCACCCTTGTTCTGAGTCGTGGAGTGCAGGAGGTGTTGTTGTTTCGGCTTCCACTGAGATATTTACTAGAACTGGAGAGTACAAGATCTGGTGCAGCTCTGCATAGAAACCAATCAGCTTCCAGGTTTTATTGCCAAAGCTTAAAGCAGAGCTACACCCAAAAGGGGAAATTCTGCTTTTTAGACTGGTCCCCCATCCCCCTTAAAGGAATGGCGCCTTTGGGGAGCGGGTACCTGAAACTGACAGTTACCCACCTAGGTGATCGCAAGCGGAAGTTGTCCTCCTCGCTCCCTCCCATAGTCTTCTTGGACACGTGACAGATCCCACGAGACCATTCAGAAAGTGCAGCGCGACCCGCACATGTGCAGTGGGCACCTGGCTGTGGAGTCGCAAGCTGTCACAGCTGGGTGCCCATACTGAAGATGCCGTCGCTGGGGACACTGGATGGCTGATGAAATGGGCTGCGGGGGGGGGGAGGGGGGACAACAACGTGGGATTAATGGACAGGTAAGCATCTGTTTTTTAAAAGTCAGCAGCTACAGTTTTTGTTTATTTGTTCACACCAATCCCATTTCTTACCACAACACACGTCGGAGTTCACAACGGGGGGGGGGTGTAGTATGAAGGGGAGACCCCAGTGGGACTCCATAGATCAGGGGTAGGCAACCTGTGGCTTTCCAGCTGTTGCAGGACTACAAGTTCCATCATGCTTTTGCAAGTCATAGCTGTAACTGTCAGTTTTGTAATGTTGCAATGCCTCATGGGAAATGTAGTTCCACAACAGCTAGAGAGCTGCAGGTTTGCCTACCCCTGCCATAGATCCATGCTGGGGTCAGTACGAGGAGCAAGCATGGGGGGGACAAGCAGAACTTCCAAGCCATGCTAAGCCCACCCATACCCCCCTCACACATTCCTATTGGAGCATCACTTAGATGGGTGGCCTCAGTGACCAATAGGAAAGTGTAGGAGGCGGGCAGGCTTTTCCTGATTGGTCCATAAGAAGAAGCTGGGACTGAAGTGTGAGGACAGAGACAGCTCTAGGTGCCCTCACTGATAACCTGACAGCAGCCCCTCTGTTCTATAATGAGAGTTCCCTGAACACACAGACTGCCATTATCAGGGGTTACCAGCACAGCCTGTATTCCCCCTATACATTCCCTATGGGTCATAATGACTGTCTATGCACGCACAGGGTGATTATCACATACCTCAGTCACACTGCTCAATGACTGGAAGCCACCATCTTCCCACAATCCCCGGCACCGGAAGCACGTGTACTGCCACACACAAGATGGCCGCGCGGTCGGTCGGGGGAAGTGATGTCAATTTCCTCCGCCCAGACAGCATGCAGGCTATGGAGGTGCTGCGAGTGAAGCGGAAGAGGGGAGCTGACCCGGCAGAGGCGCTGATTATTAGCTGCAAGAGACTGCGAGCCGAGGAGGAGGAGAAGAACACCGACCGGGTCACCAGAGAGATCTTCAGACTCGCCGCCACTGTCACCTCACAGGTAGAAGGACTCCGGCTGGGTCAGCTGCACTGCAGGAGGAGCCCAGCGCTGTTTCTTTTTGGCAGAAGTATCCTGGCATGGTCACCTGTCGGGTGGGAGGGTCCAGTGCTGTCACCTGTCAAGAAGGAGGAGCCCAGTGCTGTCCTCTTTTAGGTAGAAGTACCCTGGCATGGTCACCTGTCGAGCAGGAGGAGCCCAGCTGAGTCATCTTTTTCGGTATAAGTACTCTGGCCTGGTCACTTGTCAGGTGGGAGGGGCCCAGCGCTGTCACCTTTTTATGTAAGAGTACCCTGGCATGGTCGCCTGTCAAGTGGAAGAGGCCTGACGCTGTTCCCTTTTAGGTAGAAGTGCCCTGGCCTGGTCACCTGTGGGGCGGGAGGAGCCCAGTGCTGTCGCTTGTCGGGTGGCAGGAGCCCAGCTGGCTCACCATTTTAGGTGAAGTGCCCTGGCCTGGTCACTTTTTGGGTGGGATTGGCCCAGCGCTGTCCCCTTTTAGGTAGGAGTACCCTGGCATGGTCACCAGTTGTGCTGGAGGAGCCCAGTGCTGTCACTTTTTTAGGTAGAAGTAAAATGGCCACCTGTCGTGCGGGAGGGGCCCAGCGCTGTCCTCTTTTAGGTAGAAGTACCCTGGCCTGGTCACCCGTCAGGCAGGAGGAACCCCGCCGAGTCACATTTTAACATAGAAGTACCCTGGCCTGGTCGCCTGTCGTGTGGGAAGAGACCAGCGCTGTTGCCTTTTAGGTAGAAGTACCCTGGCATGGGCCCAGTGCTGTCGCTTGTTGGGCAGGAGGGGCCCAGCGCTGTCCCCTTTTAGGTAGACGTACCCTGGCATAGTCGCCTGCCGGGCGGGAGGAGCCCAGTCGAGTCGCCTGCCGGGCGGGAGGAGCCCAGTCGAGTCGCCTGCCGGGCGGTAGGAGCCCAGTCGAGTCGCCTGCCGGGCGGTAGGAGCCCAGTCGAGTCGCCTGCCGGGCGGGAGGAGCCTAGCCGAATCACCTTTTAATGTAGAAGTACCCTGGCCTGGTCGCCTGTCGTGCAAGAGGAGCCCAGCACTGTCACCTGTTGGGCGGGAGGTTTTGTTTATTTTGTTTATTTGAACCTTTGGCATTCCTTTCAGACATGACTGAAACATTTAGACTTCGTTCACACCATGATGCAGAGACGTCAGTTTTTCTGCACACATTCTGCTAGGGCAAAAATAATCAATTGTTCCCTATGTTCCCTGTTCACACTACAACACTAGTATTATGTGTGGATTTTTTCTGCGCAGGAATCTGCAACATGTATAAAACTCACTGAGATGCGAATGAAAACTGATGTAAACTCATGTCCCTGCAAGTGAAATCTGCGTGGTTTTCCTATCGGTTTTATGTATGTATGGTGTGAATGAGGGCAGTATTTTTTTTTTTTTTTTTTATGAAGCAAAGATCAAGAACATGGGACATGACCTCAAGTTAGCTGGAGAATAGTACAAAACTGATCTTAGAAAAGTATTATTTTACTGAGAGGGTAGTTGATGCTTGGAATAGACGTCCTGCGGAGGTGGTGAGTCAGTCAAAACATGGATTCAGACATGCTTGGGAAGAAACATAGATATATATATATATATATGTGTGTGTGTGTGTGTGTATGTATGTATGTGTGTGTAATGTATATATATATATATATATATATATATATATATATATATATATATATATATAAAAAAAAATATGTAGATGTGATGGACCACTTGCTCTTTTTTCTGCCGTCACGTTTCTATGTATTGCAAGTATAAGAGTCATGGAACACTTGTGATCCTGCTGCTGACAGCAACTCACAACCAACAGGATCACTAAAGAGAGCTCTCATCCCCCTCTACAGTGCCACCTCCTTGCTGGCTGAAGTACTGCAGAGTCTCAGTTGCCAGCAAGAAGTGGCACTGCTAGGGCATGTGACTGCAGTCATGTTGTAGGTGAATTCATCCGGTAGAGGCTTATGTTTGGAAATGTTGACCCTGTTTGTGTTTTCTCTCTCTTTAATTAGGATGAGCCTATTCAGAAGTATGTACACGAAGCTATGTCCCGTGACCGGGCTGCCCTGGCACTTGATCCCTCTGCAGGGAGCTTCCAGCGAATTCAAAAAGACCTGCGAGCTACGAAAGAGACAGAACGCCAAGAAAGTAGATACCGCTTGATATCTAATCTCCGCCCAAAATGTGATGGTGAGGATAGCAGTCCAGGAAACAGTCAACCTGCCAGCCCTGTGATAGACCAGAAGCCTGTACCAGGGAAGGTGGAGGCCTCTGCATGTGAAAATCCAGACTCCCAAATCAATGTCGGTGGCAGTTTCCAAGTCTTTGACATGGTGCATGAGGAAGCTGAAAAAGAAAAGGATAGTTTGAAGGTCAGTGTTTGGCTAGTGGAAATGTGTTTGAATATCAGACATAAAGGAGCCTTTCACTCCTGTTTGGACAATGTCAGAGTTTTGTTTGAAAAACTAGAAGACTGCATGATGCATAGAGCACAGATTTAACTGCCTCCCGCCTGCCGTATAGGGAAATGACGGACGGGCGGGAACTCTTGTTCTGGGAGGACGTCATAGGACATCCTCCCACTCTAGCTGTGCATAAGGGGCGCACCCCAAGGGTGCCAATGATGTAGGCTTTACCATGTGGTTAGCTGTGTCCAATCACAGCTTTTCACATGTAAACAGGAAATGCAGGTTATCGGCAGTCCTCTCCTCACACTGACAGCATGTGAGGAGAGCCTGTAAGCAGCATTCCTCAGAGGGGACATTTACACTGATTATCAGTGCAGCCTCATCATTACTGCCTTTCAGTACCCAGATGTGCCACATATCAGAGCTGCCTTTCAGTGCTCATTATTGATGCCTGTCAATGCCCATTGGTGCCACCTATCAGTGCCCATCAATGATGCCTGTCAGTACTCATCAGTGCTGTGTTTCAGTGCTGCCTCATCAGCACACATCAGTGAAGGAGAAAAATTACTTATTTAACAAAATTTTATAACAGAAACTAAGAAAAAAAAAAATTTTTTTTTCAAAATTTTGTCTTTTTTAGTTTGTTTAGCAAAATTATAAAAAACCCAGTGGTGATTAAATACCACCAAAGGAAAGCTCCATCTTTCTTAAATGATAAAATTTAGTTTTGGGTACAGTGTTGCATGATTGTGCAATTGTCATTCAAAATGCAACTGCACTGAAAGTTGGCCTGGGCAGGAAGGGGGTGAAAGTGCCGGGTAGGCAAGTGGTTAATAAGTAGGCAAGTGTGTAGGATCCCATTTGAATCAGATTTATCATTGAGATTTACGTTTTTTTAACATGAAGCAATAGGACACGTCAGCATAGCCAAATCCATTGTATTATTATTTTAAAACAAATCCTACTTATTACTAAAAAAAAATCTTATTTACAAGGGAACTGAAGGGAAAAAAAAACAAAAAAAGAAATTATATTTCTGCTTATTAACTCTTGAATGAGGTGGCTGCGTTCAATTTTTTTTTCAAAGCTTCTTTTGCTTTATTCTAAACTGTTATTCCTGCAGATAACACACTTCTTGTCCTTTGGTATCAGATACATCACCCCCTCCACTGTGTCTATGGCGGGAGTCTTGGTTGTCACCCTAGGCTGCTCTTCCTTAAATGTTTCATGTTATTAGTGGCAGCAAAATGTCCATAACTGGAAGATAGGCCCTGTTTGTCATACTGGCAGCGAGGTACAGTGCTTTGAAAAAGTATTCATACTCCTTGCAATTTTCCACATTTTGCCATGTTACAGCCAAAAAGGTAAATTTATTATTTTGGGATTTTATGTGACAGAACAACACAAAGTGGCAGATAATTGTGAAGTGGAAGGAAAATGATAAATGGTTTTCAAAATTGTTTTTACAAATATCTGAAAAGTGTGCATGCATTCGTATTCGGCCCCCTTTACTCTGATACCCCTAACTAAAATCCAGTGAAACCAATTATCTTCAGAAGTCACCTAATTTAGTAAATAGAGTCCACCTGTGTGTAATTTAATCTCAGTATAAATACAGCTGTTCTGTGAAGCCCTCAGAGGTTTGTTAGAGAACATTAGTGAACAAAACATGAAGGCCAAGGAACAAACCAGATGGGTCAGGGATAAAGTTGTGGAGAAGTTTAAAGCAAGGTTAGGTTCTAAGAAAAAAAAAAATTCCAAGCTTTGATCATCTCATGGAGCACTGTTCAATCTCTCATCCAAAAATGGAAAGAGTATGGCACAGCTGTGAACCTAAAAAGACATGGCTATCCACCTAAACTGACAGGCCAGGCAAGGAGAGCATTAATCGGAGAAGCAGCAAAGAGGCCCATGGTAGCTCTGGAGGTGCTGCAGAGATCCACAGCCCAGGTGGGAGAATCTGTTCACAGGACAACTATTAGTCATGCACTCCACAAATCTGGCCTTTATGGAAGAGTGGCAAGAAGAAAGCCATTGTTGAAAGAAAGCCATAAGAAGTACCGTTTGCAGTTTGTGAGAAGCCATGTGGGGGACACAGCAAACATGTGGAAGAAGGTCAGATACGATTGAAATTGAACTTTTTGGCCTAAAAGCAAAACTGTATGTGTGGTGGAAAACTAACACTGCACATCACCCTGAACACACCATCCCCACCGTAAAACATGGTGGCGTGGGAGAATCATGCTGTGGGGATACCTTTCTTCAGCAGGGACAGGGAAGCTGATCAGAGTTGATGGGAAGATGGATGGAGACAAATACAGGGCAATCTTAAGAGAAAACCTGTTAGAGTCTGCAAAAGACTTGAGACTGGCACATATATTTACCTTCCAGCAGGGCAACAACCCTAAACATACAGCCAGAGCTACAATGGAATGGTTTAAATCAAAGCATATTTATGTGTTAGAATGGCCCAGTCAAAGTCCAGACCTAAATCCACTTGAGAATCTGTGGCAAGACTTGACAATTGCTGTTCACAGATGCTCTCCATCCAATCTGACAGAACTTGAGCTATTTTGTAAAGAATGGCCAAAAAATGTCACTCTCTAGATGTGCAAAGCTGGTAGAGACATCCCCAAAAGGAATTGCAGGGAAAGTAGGTTCTACAAAGTATTGACTCAGGGGGGTTGAATACAAATGCATGCCACACTTTTCGGATATTTATTTGTAAAAAATTGGGAAAACCATTTATCATTTTCCTTCCACTTCACAATTATGTAGCACTTTATGTTGGTCTATCACATAAAATCCCAATAAAATACGTTTACGTTTTTGGTTGTAACATGACAAAATGTGGAAAATTTCAAGGGGTATGAATACTTTTTCAAGGCACTGTAAGTGTGTGTTCAGAGTCAGGAGAGGAAGCAGTTTTCAAAGCACTGCAATAAGGTAAAAAAATGTCCTATTAGTAGTATCGCCCCCTCCAAATGCTTGCCTGAGTCCTGTATCAATCCAGCATTGTGCCTGTCTAGCCGGAGCCATTGGTTTCTGCTGCTCTTAATCAAATTCAGTGAGTGGGGGCAGGGCTGAGCCAAGCTGTGTGTCAATAGATTGGGAGCAAGCCTGCAGGTATGCCACCATAGGAAGTGGCTCCTTATGGCGACTCATCGCGAAGAGGAGAAGCCTAAGGAGGGACCCTAGAAGAAGACTATGCGGACAATAGCATTGCACAGAGCAGGTAAGCATGTTATGTTTTTTTTGTTTTTTTCTTTTTGTTGTAGGTCTTTTGTTTATAGTGCAAAAATAAAAAAAACACAGAGGTGATCAAATACCACCAAAAGAAAGCTCTATTTGTGGGAAATAAATGAGAGAAATTACATTTATGTACAGCATTGCATGACTGCGCAATTGTCAGTTAAAGTAACGCAGCACCATATCGCAAAAAATGGCCTGGTCAGTAAGGAGGGCAAGTGTTTAATTGAGGCAAGTACGCACTATAGAGGGATATGCTTTGTTCATATTTCATGTCCAAGGTTTACAACCACTTTAAGCATCCATTCATTGACTAAGCTGTGTATAAGATCGTTTATAGTCCTGGTGGTATGGCAGAGTAAAAACCTGCTAATACCGCCTAACAATTTCAGTAATACGCAGATCAACCTTACAAATTTTCCAGATGTGTTTTTTCCCCTTTAACAATAAAAGTAACTTTGAGGGCCTATGTAAAATAAATATTAATAAGACTTGGGGCTGGATTAAATGCCATTATTCAGAATTCTATACTCCTTTTTTCTTTTTTGTATGAAAAGGACATAATGACAATATTACTTTCTTGATTTGCAGGAGAGCGACCCTGAAACAATTACTTGTAACTCTGTGAAAATGATTCGGGAGCGGCTGACTTTGTCTGATGCAGGATCAGAGCACAGGGAGAACCCAGATGAATTTGTTTACGACATTTATTATGCAGAAGCTACTCCACATAACTGGATCCAGGACATTCTGTCTGTTCAGCCATACTCCAATGAGCAGGAACTGGTAAGAAGTACAGTTTAAGGACCAGGGATGTGCAATTTCTATCGCCTGACGCCCGGGACACATGTGGTTCTGGGAGCCGGGCAGGTTTTTTTTTATTTTTGCCTTTAGTCCTGCTGCGGGTAAGCAGCAGGGCTCACCTGTCAGGTGGAAGCATTTGGGCGGCACCCAATTGCTTCCACACAGCCCAAAGTGTTAGCCTCTCCTCCCTGCCCGCTATATGTCCCAGGCTCTGCTTGCCCACCTGCGGGCCCAGGACTGGCTCAGTGTGCGCTGGCGGGATGTGGTATATGTGAGGGAGGAGAGCGAACATATCCTCTCCCCTCCTTCTCCTGACCCAGAAGTGATGTGACATCAATTTTGTGTCCACGTTTTACACATTCCCTGTCATTGAAGCCGGGAAAGAATGTAATGCGGTGCGAGAGAGAGCCTGTCACCAAAAAAAAATCATCAAATAGGGGACTCCCATATGTGATTTAAAAAAAAAAAAAAAAAAGGTTAAGTAAATTTTTTTATTTTTTTTTTAATTTCCTTCTTTCTACATAGATTTCTTCCTGCAAATTCCTGTTCAACTCTTTCAAAGGCAATGGATGGCTTTAATCTGTGCTATCAATTTATGAGCTACCAGCCCTCAACCACTTTAAAGATTTTTCTGTAGCATTGGTTTTTCTGAATCTGACACTTCAGTTCAATTTTTAGCAAACTATTGCAACTAAAGTAACTCTCTCATGATTTTTTTCCTTGGCAGCTGCCTGAAGATCATGAGCCAGAGGAAATTTATGATGATGAGGATGATGAGAATGAGGAAAACAACTGGAGAAATGACTATCCTGATGAAGAAGATGAGGACAACAGTGACAAGGAGGAGAGATACATGGGTAACTAACATTATATCAGCCTTTACTTATTAGTATTGAAGCCATTTATACTACAACTCAGTTTCCCTGGCCTGGGGACAATGCACCTCTATCTTGCGGGTTTTTTGGGGGGTTTTTTTTTTTTTTTTTTTTTTTTTTTTTTTTTTGCGGATCCTTTTAACTACTTGCTTCCCAAGCCTATTCTGATTCTTCTCTCCTACATGTAAAAATCGTTTTTTTTTTTTTTTTTTTTTTAACATACTGTCACCAGTGCAGTACAGTGTCATCATATGACTGGTGTGGTGGTGATCAGGGATACTGACTGTGACATCTGTAAATTTAATAAATATATACAGTATTTTCTGGCGTATAAGACTACTTTTTATACTTAAAAATATACCCCAAAAATTGGGGGTCGTCTTATACGCGGGGTATAAAATGTGAACCTTGAGTTTGTTTGGGTCAAGCTGGCTGGATGTGTGGTAATACTGTTCATACAGTATACCATGCTGAGCCAAGCTGGCTCAAAACAAATGTCCCTATGACAGATTAATCTGTCAGCCCGCTGGATGTGCGGTATATACAGTATACTGCGCTGAGCCAAGCAGTTTCAAAACGTACCGGTACGTCCCTACTGTAATCAGCCCGCTGGATGCGTGTATGTACGGTAGCTGCGGCTACATACAGTATACACTGGGCCAATCACGCTGAGTGATGTATTCTACTAATGAATACAAAGCCTGCTCGGATTGGCTGAGTCAGAGAGGTGGGCTGATGATGTCACAACCTCAGCCAATCCGAGATTTCATTCATGAACTTATGATGTCAGAGGATGAACATGAGGATTTTGAAGGATTTTAAGTACCCGTAAGTCATAACCATTTCAATTAAAAAAAATCTGATGTTTTTAAATGGTGTTACCTCGGAAGGGGGGTAGTCTTATACGGCGAGTATAGCCCAAAACCTATGTTTTAGCTGGAAAATTAGGGGGTCGTCTTATACACCCAGTCGCCTTATACGCCGGAAAATACGGGTATATCTTTTTTTTTTTTTTTTTTTTTTTTTAAATTAAATCTTTTTCAAATTTTAAAACTTTTTTGTTTTTCTGTTTTACATACTTTCATCAGTGTAGTTCAGTGTCACCATAGTGATACTACTAATCTGGGAAAGCGATCAGTGATTTTTATTTTTTAAATTGTTTTTAATTTACTGGTTTTGCTTATAGCAGTGATGATCACTGTTTATAAGCGATCGTTTTAGCTGTCCTGAATGACTTTCATTCATTATTATTAAATGTTTGTTAAACAAATGTTTCATTCTCATAGTAGACACGAAACGTAAATGGTTTTTTAAATATAACATACAGGTTTACACTTACCTGCTGTGTGCAGTGGAATACAGGGTGGCCCCGAACCCTCTTTTCTTAGATCTTCTGCTGGCTTTCCTTGCTCCTCCCCTCCACTGAATGCTCTCATAGCCACTTTCTGTGGGGGCACCCGTGCAGACTTGCACCTGAGCCTTGTCTGCGTTTATTGACTTTATGTTCACACACATGCACGAATTTCACACAAAGTTAACACCCCAAATGCGTTGCAGTCGCAGTGCGGTTTGCCCATACTGGATCACATGGTACAAAACGACCTGCGTGCTGCTCCAAATAAATGGTGCCTGCACTTCTTTGGTGCCATGTGGTGTGATTTGAGCCCATTAAAAAGGAATGTGTTTCAAATTGCATTGCACTAAATTGCATGTGGATTGCACGGGAATGTGGTGCGTTTCCTATGCGATTCACGTGTGGGTTACAGTGTGAACCAGAGCTGACACGGACAAAAGAACTTGGCCCCGCCCCTTCTCCCTCGTCACTGCCTTGATTGACAGCAGCAAGAGCCAATGGCTCCCACTGCCTCAGCAGAACCCAAGAGACCAGGAAGTGAGTGGGGAGAAGAACTGCAAGTAGGCACAGTGTAAGATCGAATGGGGGCTTAGGTAGGTAAAAGGGGGGGGGGGGGTGAGGAGGGATACCGATGCCTAAAACGAAACATATTTTACCTTTTAATACAAGGAATGCATTAATGTAAGAAATGCTTAGGCTTTATAAGCACTTTAACTCTAAAAATGTAGAAACCTAAAACAAAAATTATTCTAAGGAGATTGAAAGGCTGCCATAGCTGACTTCTGACTATACTATATACTAGTTGCTGTGCTCTCATGTTGGTGTTTTAATTTAACCACTTCCCGTCCGGCCCATGTGTATAAACAGCCAGATGGGAGCAGTGCAGGGGCGGATTGTCATTCATAAACGGCACCCGCCATTTTAGCCTGAGCGCGCGGCACTGATCGCTGTACGGGACCTCTGTGTGAGGTCCTGATCATGTGATCATTAATTGGCCAGTCAGTGATCACATGAATAGTAGTAAGCATCACTGCTTACTACGTGTGAAATCTGTGAATGATCACAGAGGATACATGGTACAAGGCTATTCACAACAGCCTTGTACCATGTGACAAGCTGTGACCAATCACAGCTCTTACAGTATTTCTCAATGGCTGCAAGCATTCAGCCAGAGAGAAAGAGAAATTATTGCTTTTACAGCCTTTATTGGTGTAAAAGAAATCGGTGTAAAAAAAAAAAAATCATCACCCCCCCCCCCCCCCCCCCCCCCCCCACCCACCCCCCCCCCCCCCCCCCCCCCACAAGTAGTACAGTGTCACTATGGTGTTATGAGGTTTTAACTTTTAACACATTTTTTTATTTTCAAAATTTTTGGAATTTGTCATTTCTATAGCAAAAAAAAAATCCCAGTGGTGAATAAATACCACCAAAATAAAGTTTTATCTGTCTCAAAAAAATTCATATGGGTTAAAGTGTTGCATGACCGCACAATTGTCATTCAAAGTGTGACAGCTTTGAAAGCTGAAAATTGGCCTGCACAGGAAGGGCGTAAAAGTGTCCGGACTTGAAGTGGTTAATGATTTAAAAATCCAGAGCAAGTTTTGAAATAAGGACTTTCCCTTAAAAGTGTTGGGCCATCTATTCCCAAAACTATGATTTCATAGTTATGACAGGTGCATGTTTTGAAGCCTAATACAGTCATGCATTATATGATTTAAATACCAAGATAAAAAGAACCGTCCCTAAATATTCACATTCATGTGTTGAATGTGAATATTTTTGGCCCTTCCCCTTTAATTCATATGGAGATTTTTAAGTAACACAGTTTTCACGCCATTCCATGGGCATGCACAGTTTTAAAGCGTGACATGTTTGGTATCTATTTACTCGCCGTAACAGTCTCTTTCATATTTTACAAAAAAAATTGAGATATATATATATATTTTTTTTTTAATCCGTGTATTTTTTTCCAAAAAATATATATTCATTTTAAAAAAACTGCACATTTCGGTTTTCGCCCAAGTGCATTTAGAATTTTCGGTTTTGGCACCAGAATTTTCATTTCAGTGCAGTAGTTCTTATTCTTATGCTTTCTTGTGCAGGTTATTATGAAGACAGTGATGAGGAAGATGGACACAGAGGAGACTCCTGGACGGTGTACAGGCAGAAGGCCATGAGGGAGTTGAATGAGGAAGGGGAATATGACTAATGTGTTCTCCTGTGCTTATAGAGGGTATCTCTCTGATTTGGATGAAGAACAATGGTCTGTTTTTAGACTACATTTACTAAAGACTGAACTGTTCAGGTTTTACCTTGTAGCTGCAGCTGAATTGTAACTCTGTATTCCTGTTTATGGGGAAGAAATTGTTTGATGTATTAGTTCTCATGCTTTGAACATTCTAGTTTGAAGATTTTCAGAATACCCACATTTTTACCAAGTATAATTTTCTTTGTCAAAATTTTTATTGAAACACAGATCAATACAAAACAACTGTTTGCCCGCACAGGAGTTACAGATCAAATAGTAAATGAGTAAACAGGCGGTATCTATCACATTTTCAGAGCATAAAAAATCATTACGGCGCCGTCCTGCGACCGAGATCACAGTGCTGCTTCAATGTCCCAGAAGCAAGTCTTGAGAGGACAAACAGTAGTCAATAGTGACAATACTCTCTAACATTTCATTTAACAAGAGGGAGAGAACAGAGGAGAAAAATAAAAAGAATATGAAAAGAAAAACAGCAAAGCCAGGAGCGTAGAGAAAGAAGAGAGGTAACATCCTGCAGGCCTGGGTCTCAGCTGAGGGATAGATAGCCCCTAAGCCCAACGGGGATAAGGTAGGGAACTCATAAGTCCACCAAGGACACCAAATTTTAGCATGGGAATCGCATACAATGCTGGCCATATTTTCATGCAACATCAAGGTGGTCGGGGTATGCTTAACCTTACAGAAAGGGACAGACGGTGATCTCCATGCTTTGGCAATAACCTGTTTAGCGGCTATGAAAACATAGGTGGCTAGCTTTTGTTGGTGGGCATACAATCCCACAATCGGGCAATGAAGCAAGGATGATTTTGCATCCTTCAGGATGGGAACGTGGAAGATAGAGTATAGGAGACCGAATACTCTGGACCAAAACCTAGTGAAACGTGGGCATGACCACCAGGTATGAAGAATATGACCTTGCATTCCGTAGCCGTGGAAACATCTGTCCGGAAGATCGGGGTTAGCACATGCAATGCAGGCAGGAACCCAATACCATCGCTACCAATTATAATTTTCATGCAAAAGCCAATCACATATATGAGCACAGATGGGCCTGATTTACACTGGCAATAACATACCTACTGTTTATGGGACATTTAAAGTGACAAACATGCTTACCTGCTTTGTGCAATGCAGAGCAGTCCAGTTGACTCCTGTCCTCCACCGGGTGCCAAGCATAGAAAGCACTTCTTATGGTGGGCACTTGTGTGGGCTCATTCCTGAGCAGGGCTGTTTGCATCTATACAGACACACAGCGTGGCTTGCACAACCCCCTCGTTTACAGGTTTTGACTGACGGCAGCAGGAGCCAGTGGTTCCCCCTGCTCTTAACCAAGCCTGAGAGAGCCAGGAGAGGGGAGAAGAGCTGCTGCAGACATGCACAGCGCTGGATCAAGATCGGGCTCAGGTGAGTATTTGGGGGGGGGCTGCATGTAAAAGTTGTTTTACCTTGATGAAGAGAATGCTTTAAGGTAAAAAAAAAGCCTTTAACATTACAACCAGCGATTTTTTTTTTTTTTTTGATTTTTTTTTTTTTTCCCCCTCTATATTACAAAATTTGTAATATGATGGAAATTTCACTGGGCTGCATAATCACAATGTAAAGGGGCCTTTACACGCTTAGGCTCCATGCACACTAGCCTTTTTTTAAGCGCCTAGTAGCTGGTATTAGCATTTTTGTTCTGCTCCTAGAAGCTAAATAGTTTTATCCAATGTGTCTATGCACACTACTTTTTAGCTTCAGTGTCTAAAAAATTTTTTTTGTAGTTTTTGGAGCATTTTTCCAATAGAAAAAAAAAACGCTACTAAAATGCTCCTAAATGCTTTTTTTTTATAGCTTTTTTTTTTTCTCTCTTATTTCCTCTACATGTACTGTAAAAATACCAATAAAATTCTAATGCTCTCAACCGCTTATAAAACAATACTAAACAAAATGCTATTACCAGCGTTTGTTTTTTTGTTTTTTTTAAGCTTGGAAAAAAAAAAAAAATAACAACGCTAGTGTGCATGGAGCCTAAACACATTTTTTTTTTTTCGTGCACTTGGAATGTATTTAGCTGATTTAAACTGCCTGTACAGGTGGGCTTTAGTAGAAGGCTGTCTAGATAGCAGCTTGTGACTTGTTTTTGAAGGTGCATGCTCCGGGGCTCTTGCGCTTATCCTGGCCTTACTGCCTACTGACTGTGTCCTAGGACAAGTATGAAGCCAGTGAAGTATGGGTGCAGCTGATAAGCACATACTTTGTTTTAGATTCTCACCAGTATGTGAGGGATCATTCAGGATGACCGCTCTGGGGTATGTACCTTCAAAAACAAGTCTGTGATGGTAGTCCTGTATTTCTGACACGACGGGTCCTTTTTACATTACTCAAGTAAATGTGAACACTACAGGGCATTGTATTTTGTGGGTGGGAGGAGGACTTCATCCCAGCTCATACGCAATACAGTGGAGCTGACTTAAAAAAAAAAACAAATTGTGCAAAGGCAAAATCTGTTCTATTCAGTGGCGTTGTGCTTTATTAATGTCTGTTTTCATCAGCACCTATACAAGTTATTAGGATATTGGTTCTATTTTGTTTTTTTTTATAAGGTCATATAAAAATAAACTGTATTTTGTAGTTTTAGTTGGGAATACATTTTGACAATGTGCTGTGTAGTTCTTTCTTAGTGTTTTAACTGATTTTGATATCATTACTGTAAGATGCTAAACCCCTTTCCACCACTTCTCACAGCCTGCAACCCCGGGAGGTGGAGGTTGCAGTTTTGATCATGCGACCTCCTGTGATTTGGTCCTTACAGTTGTCACATGATTGGAAACTTGCCCTGATGCCTGCTGAACATGTGAATGCTGTGATTGGCTTTCACATAGTTCACATGATCAGCAACCCATCTCACTGGTTCCTGATTAGAGACTGGGGGCTGCTGATAGCAGCTTGGTTAATGTTGATGGAACATGCTCTTAGCACAGACCCTCAGACTACTATGGGCACATGTGTGGCAGCTAGGCATGACGGCCCACCCACCATGCCATTGCACTATATGTTATGGCTCTGGTAAAAAAAAAAAAAAAAAACTAGAAAGCATTTCTATCTATACTGTGGACTTATGTGTAATACGTCACGTATCTTGTAATGTTTACAGGAATACAGTATGCACCGACGACGTCATTGTGTAACATGTCCAAGCAGGTAGAAATTTACAGCACACTGCAGGCAAGTGCGTACAGAAAAGTGTCTATTTAGGGCTATACAACACTGGTGATCTGTTTGTAGGAATTCACCAGAGGAAGGATTACTTTGAAGGGCACAGCGTTGTCACTCCTTAGCCTCTGGTTTGACAGCGAGTGATACCTCCAGGCTGAACTGTCAAGGGAGCGATGCATACAAAGCAGGTATGTGTCCTCTGTGTATTTTCTGGAAAGCAATTGCTTGCTGACATCAGGATCACCAGTGTGACGTGGCTCTTATGCTTAATGTTGTGCACAGCAGATGTCTGGTGGCAGTGAAAGGATCCTTCTGTTGGTGCTCCACAAGTCCAATGTAGTAACATGGGAAACAGCTGTACGTTCAAGATTTGTTCTGTAATGTGTCATCTATATTCTGTGTTGAATAAAACTGCTGAATGCTTGCTCTGGTTTTGACTTAGTGGTGCAACTAAACGAAAATTCAGAATGCACTTGCCCGAAAACCAAAATGGACTGTAAAAAAAAAAAAAAAAAAAAAAAAAAAAAAAAATATATATATATATATATATATATATATATACAGTTGTGTTCAAAATAATAGCAGTGTGTTGAAAAAAGTGAATAAAGCTCAAAATCCTTCTAATAGCTTTTATTTCCATCCACACAAATGCATTGGGAACACTACACATTTTATTCCAAATCAAAACATGATGAAAAATATATCAAATTTGTGTTGTTCCTCTAAAAAAAATTGAAGAAAAGTGAATATTAGACTGTTCAAAAAAATAGCAGTGTTTGTATTCTTCTTTACAAACTAAAACATTCACTATATAAACTGAAAAATGTTTGAAGATTTTGCTTTCCTTTGAATCACTTAATGAATATTTTGTTGTATAAGCACTGTTTCTGAGAACTGCTGTACATCTGTGTTGCATGGAGTCAACCAACTTCTGGCACCTGTGAACAGGTATTCCAGCCCAGGATGATTGGACTACATTCCACAGTTCTCTATTTCTTGGTTTTGCCTCAGAAACTGCATTTTTGATGTCATCCCACAAGTTTTCTATTGGAATAAGATCCGGGGATTGGGCTGGCCACACCATAACCTCAATCTTGTTGGTCTGGAACCAAGATGTTGCACGTTTACTGGTGTGTTTGGGGTCGTATCAGTCCACAAAATGTTGCGCCATTTCTCTTTAGGCCAGTCAATGTGCTCTTTGACAAATTGTAACCTCTTCAGCACGTCTTTTTTCAACAGTGGGACTTTGCGGGGGCTTCTTGCAGATAGCTTGGCTTCACATAGGCGTCTTCTAATTGTAACAGTACTCACAGGGAACTTTAGACCTTTGATCTTCCTGGAGCTGGTTATTGGCTGAGTCCTTGCTATTTTGGCTATTCTTCTATCCATTCGAAAGGTAGTTTTTCGCTTTCTTCCACGTCTTTCAGGTTTTGGTTGCCATTTTAAAGCATTTGCGATCATTTTAGCTGAGCAGCCTATTATTTTCTTCACTTCTTTATGTTTTCCCCTCTCCAATCAACTTTTTAATCAAGGTACGCTGTTCTGAACAATGTCTGGAACGACCCATTTTCCTCAGAATTTCAGAGAGAAATGTACTGTAACCAGCATGTACAACATTTGCTGCCTTCCTTCCTTTAAATAAGGGCAATAATTACCACCTGTTTTTCAAAGAATGAATGACCTCACTAATAGAACTCCACACTGCTATTATTTTGAACATGCCCCTTTCAGTTAGTGATTCA